GTTGCTTGCCGAGAACTACTTTGATTCTCGAGGCCGATGTGCTGTGGACAATCAGGTCCTTCAGATTACATTGTCAAGAATGTCCCGGAGCAAGCAGGTGAAGGCGGAACCGACAGAGGAAGACCCTTGGGATGATGCGTATTGGGAGGAGAAGCGTGACGAAAGTCACGCCGAACTGCCTGCGCCTGAGGTTCCCGACTTCCTCAAGGAGATGAAGATCCAGAATGTCGTCAGCGTCGCACCTGGTGTTTTCGCGACAGAAGCTGAGATCAATTCGCCGGATTGGAACAAAGCCCCACCTAAGGTGGAGGCCGTTACCCCGGCGAGCCATTTATGGTGGTAGTATCCTGTCTGGCGAATCCGGCACTGAGCATGCTGCCAAGAAAGCCCGCCTCGCAAAGGCTGAGGCTGACCAGAAGCGGCTGACCAAGATTGCAGTGCAGGGATCGCGCGGAATGAGGTTCATCAATGACACCTACGACACCGCTGAAATGCTCGGCATCAAGTTGTTCGATTATTGGAATGAATGCCCCTCGAGAGAGGAGGCCGCCCAGTACATCGAAGTGTTCCAGAAGGACATGACCCCTGGTTTGCATTATCCCCAGTGCCCTCACAAGATGGTCACGTTTGTCACGGGATTGATCAGGGGCAACTTCGAGAACAAAGGCGAGCAATTCAAGATGTACTCATGGGACGGACCGTGGGTCCTAGCCATGGAAGTGCTTGAGGTGGCGAACAGGTGCAGGCCTGGAAGCGACATTGGTTTAGGAATTCTCCTCGACATGATCGCCACCGACAACAAACAGCGTCTTATGTTTCGCGGGCCAATGGATACTGCTGCCGATGCGATTGGCCAACCAGCCTTTCCGGTGTACGTCGGGTGCACGCAGGGCCACTCCAGCAATCTGCAGATTGACAATGCCTTCATTGCGAAGGCTTATCTGTCTCTGCAGCGCACTGAGGAGATGGTTGATGCCGCCCGAGAGGGCAGGCCGTTGATCCCGATCGACAAGGCGCCTCCCAGACTTTATCGAACGACCCATGATGCGGCGTTCGCGATTCTGGAAGATCGTTTGTTGCCTGGATTCGGAGGTTCTGAGAAGGCGCATTGTTACTTTGCGCCGCTGCCGCTTGAAGAGCAAAAGGTACGCTCAGGACTCCGAGCAAGTGCTCCGATTGAAATCGTCTTCGATACCCGGGAAGTCCTCGAAGCTGGCTGCGACTTGTTCCTTATACAGAGTCTGATGGCCTGCTATGCTCTGAGGCAGTACCTGGTTCGACCATTTTGTTCATCAATGATATGCTAAAGGACGTCACACTTTGGTCTCGCACAGGAGGCACGGTTCCCCCTGATGAGGCAGAGCAAGGTGAAAGCCCAGCTAACGCTGAGGCCGACGTTGCCATTATCTTTGATGAGCCCGAGGTCGAGGAGACGGTTCAGGACAATTTCGCACCGCCTATAGATGAAGAGTTTGGTACCCTTCCAGCTGAGGAAACAACCTTGCCGCCCATCCCTGATGTTGCTGAGGTACTTGAAGGTTCGTTGGCAATCACAGATGCCCCTGCAGAGGCTGATGATGCGGAAGCACCTGGTGATGAGCAAATGCCCTCCGTAGAGGAGAGGCCGCTTGTTGAGCCGGGAACCATCATTGCCCAACCGGGACCGCCAATTCGAACCATGTACATTGGTGATGGAATAGCGACAAAGGTTACACTGAATGCTGAGGGTGTACCTGTCGAAGCAGTCCAGGAGCCGGTGGGAAGGCCAGAACCCGTGCTTTATGCTGGGAGTGAGGCCAAGCCAAACGCCGCGTTCTTGGAAAAGATCAAGTGCTACCACTGCAAGGCCGAGTGTCTTCAGGGCCAAAGGATTTGCTCCCAGTGTGGTGGGCCAGTTCGACCAGGCCAACTGAAGGCACAGGGCAGAAGGACGCTGTTGGCACGAGGGCGTGAAGCTCTGCTTCGGGAGATGGGTGATGCTGCCGAGCGAGTGGGGGCAAAGCCAGACCTTCAAAGCGCATCGAAAGATGTCGCCGGTCGTGGCATGAACTCACTTGAAGGCGAAGTGATTCGAAAGGCCAAAGTGGCAAAGCAGAGAGCCGTGAAGAAGGGCTATACTGACTGCGTGGCGAGGTTCAATCAAGACAATGAATACGCAATCAGTATGACCAAGGAGGGATACACACGCAGAACGATTCGTGTCCTCGACTGCCTCTGCTACGCCTACCTGCCGAACCCCGGACGCTCTCGATCCCAAAGGATGCTGGCTATTGGATCCTCCAGAACTGCGTCAACTACGCATGAGGCTCGCACAGATGCGGTCCCAGAGTGCCGTATCGTTTTCTTTACTGGAGACGACGGCATTGGCGGCAAGTTATGCGCAGCGGGACTAACGTCCACGCCGGAGGACATGCCAGTAGCGTTCACGTGGTACGGAGCCATCCTTTCCTTTCAGGATTTCGCTTTCAACATCGCCAAGCAGAAGGAAGGAATCCGTCTTCAAACTTTTGGCCATGGCAAGGTGACCTCCTCAACAATGACCCTGGCGCAGTGGGCACTGATCTACAGACCATTTTGGCCAAGGATCTGCACTACATGGTGGAGACGGTTGAGGAGACCACTAAGAAGGCCCAGCAGAGTCGCGCTGCCCAGCCAAAGTATGCCCAGCAGCATCCGCCAGGTGGTGGCAAGGACTCAACATATGCCCGTGCTTCGGAAGCGAAGGGAAAAGGCAAAAGCCCGGCTAACGCCGAGGCCGCCAATCGCACAGCTCGCGACTGGGATTGGGATGATCAATCCTGGTGGCAAAATTGGTCATCGTCGTCCTGGGGATCATGGCGCGGTCAGAACTGGGACAACCAGGACTGGCGTGAGTGGCGCAATCGTGGATGGCGTTGGAACTGATATGCCGACCCAGTAGTCTGATTCTTTCGAGTAAGAGGGATGTTCACCCGGCCTGTGATATTTTTCAAGTGGCTGTGCGGCGAACTCCTATTGCCCTTACTCCGCGCTGAAACAGCGTCTCGCATTTGAAGAAAAGCTTGCATGCAGTTTTCGCACCCTTCCTCGAGGCACTTGGCAGTCACATGTACTTTTGCTGAAACAATCTGATGACGCGGGAGGCAACTCCACGCCGATCGTCAAACTCCGAGCCGAAGCGCTCTTCCACCTGCAGGCGAAGGTATCCTGTATTTTTGAATGCGGTGACCGTGCCTTTAGGTGAGGGGGGTGTAGTTTTGCATCGCAGCTTGCATAGGAGTTTGTATGGTCGTGTACAGTCATCATGTTGTGTATCATATACCGTGACGTCATGCTCAAGCCCTCTGAGTAAAAAGGATAGCTTATCCGCTCATGGCTTACGGTTTTGGTGTATTCTATAATGACGATTGGCTGTTGGAGCCTGATGGTGGATGGCTCCTTCTTTTAACTCTCCCACCCCACGCCGTCTAAGGCGGCCAAACCACCCTAACCTATTCCTTTTAGGGTTTAGCACCTAAACGCATTCGATGGTTTTCTTTGCTAGGCCCACACAAAGAAAGGAGGGGACCTCGACTTTGGCACCGGGTCATAATGAAAATGCACATTTTATGAACAGAATTTAATAAGCAAAAACCAGCAGGTTGGTCAGGGCAAGGCAGGGCAGAAGGCAGGGCAGCAGGCACGCGGGGAAGCGGCGGGGCCAGCCTGGGGGCACACAAGACGGCCTTTGCAATTTTGTCCAGGTCTCCCCCTAGGACCGGCCCCAAGCCCCCCCTGGGGGGGTCCCTTTTTGGAGGGGGGGCCACAGGGCCAGGGCCTCTATGGCGTAAATTTCCATACGGACCAGTACTTCCCGGGAGAACCGGGCCTAACGTGGGTGCTACAGTACCCCTAGCTGTGGGACGGCGGGCGAGCGTGCTGGATCGACCTGCGCCATCGATGTCGAGGGGCTGAAGCGCCGCCCACCATCGAAGGTGGGCGGCCTAGGCCTTGAGTTTAGGGTCAGGGTTGAGACCGGCAACGCGGATGGATGGGGCGTGTCGGCAATGAACGTGATCCTCTGCATCACACCGACACAGCCCATCTACTCGGTGCGCCTGCATTTTCTCATGCATAGGCTGGTCTAGCCTAGTCTATTCCATTAGACTGTTTTCCTCTCCACCTTTCCATTCCATTACATTCTGGTCGTTTCTACTCTATCTATGGATCTCTTCTATTCTGATCTGAATCTAGTCGAATCTAAACTACTCTACTCCAAACCCCATGCCCCTAGTAGCCATAAAGGCCCCTACGGCACGCTGTCAATTTTTAGGACGTTAATGTAGGAACCTGATTAAGACACCCTGGTCCTGTAACCCCAAACAGTAGGATCCATATAAAGATCCCTAACCCAAAGGCTCCATGTACCTTTATAGTAGATACTTCAGCCTTGAAGGGGTTCCTATATAAGTACTTCAAAGCCCAAGTATACACTATATGGGTACATGGAGCCTTAGGGTAGCGAAGACCCTGGGTTTGTTAATCAAGCACCTAGCCCCGGAGGTCTGTGACGGTCCCTTTAAACGGCTTTAGAAGGGTTTTGTAGTAAGGGTTTCATGAATAATCAGATTCGGTTTTGGGTGGACATCAAGATTATATGGATGAGCCCCTGGTACATTGGCTTACTGTCCCCTGCGGTACCAGAAGCCATGAATGAGGACAGCTTGGACCTTGTGATGGACGCTTACTTATGCAACCGTAAGCCCTCAACCCTAAACCCGCCTAAACCCTCAAATGGCTTAGGGTTTAGGGTTCAGCCGAAGCCCTTGCAGCCCGAACGCAGAAAAGCCGGGCTTTGGGCTCGAAGTTTAGCGGTTTTCGGCTTGGGTTTCCTTAAAGGTCCGTGTGCCCAAATAGTGTATACTGTGCCCCCAAAGTACGGTAATATTCCATGGGCCTTGCGGGTTTCCCCTGAAATCCTAAACCCCCTTAGGGTTTCCTTTCTTAACAAGATAGAAAAGAGACATCAACATCTTCCGCAGGATCAGGGCTTCTCCCAGGACTCGGCTGCCTCCTGCCCCATGGCAATTTGGGTTTTAGGGTACGGGGTTTAGAGCTTTGGGGTTTGGGGTTCACGGCCTTGGAGGTTTCAGGGTTTGGGGTTTAGGATTTCGGTAGTTGGCGGCCGTGAAGGCACTAATTGGAAGTAGAGGATCGTACCCCAGAAACGCTACAAATTGAATATGTGTAACCTCAGACGGAGAGAGTGCGGAGGGGTTCGAAACTCGGACAGTTTGGATCCGATGGCAATGTCGGAGTTTGGGTTCTATAAAGGCCTGCTCAGGACTGACATCGCATTCTGTTTTGTGTATCTAAGATAGCAAAGCTGAAGGGTGTCGGCGTAGTCATCTACGGTAGGACGTCGGGTGCTGGAGGTGGATGTCAGGGCATATATCCTAAATTTTAGCACTGATAATGCTTTAAGGCCATACATGAGCGACGCATAGTTACTTGCAAGACTCGCCAGCAAACTTGGCGGACCCTTTTGGGCCGAGAGTACGATTGGGCGAGCTGGATGCTACATCCTCTCTCCGGATGTGCTTATTTTAGTGTGAGCCCCACAAGGGGTGAGCGTGTGACCCGCTGCAGCAGAGAAAGGCCCAACGCCCTCTTAAAAAAAAAACAAAATCCCTGAACCCCGAAACCCCTAAACCCTAAATGTGCTAAACCCCTAAGGACCCTTTTCTGCCGGCCCCCGCGCCTTCGTGTCAAGGGCACGGAAAGGGTCCTGAGTACCTTCTCTGGGGGATACCTACCCAAACCGTAATTCCTTGTTTTGAAACCCTGCTTTCTGCTGTTTAGGGTTTTAGGGTTTAGGGTACTTCTGACCGCTCGGGGGCAGAAGCCCTATGGCCCGAAAGCCTTCAGCACCTTAAAGTTTAGCCTTGAAGTCCTGGCCCGAAACCCTGATCCACAAGCCCCAGAAACCCTGAACCCTACAAGAGTCTACTGCCCGCAGGGAAGAGGACGTTTCGCCACACCTAATGGATACTGGGTATTATTGTGGGGGTGGGGGGGGGGTGGGGGGGATACTTTCCCGAATCAAAACAAAATATGATTTATTGCTTGACTACAAGCATAGAATAGCTTAAACCTTAAACCCTGAAACCTGTAGAATTCTACACTGTTTTTACTTTCAGGTTTCTGGGTTCCTATTATGAAATAAGAAGCCCGAAAAAGTATATACTTTTTCCCAGTGGGTTACTGAACAGCCTAGTAGTTACTAGGGTAGGTACTTAGGACCCTCTGGGAAACTCAGGCGACTTGATGAGCGCTGGCACCTTCAAGGGGCAGCATGCTGCATGGCTCGGGAGAGTGGGTTCAGGGTTTAGAGTTTCAGTTTCAGGGAATTAGGGGTTAGAGGTTATAGGGTTGAGGGGTTACGGTTTAGGGTTAGGGTTTAGGGGGGTTAGGGGGGGCTAAAGTTTTAAAGGGCTGTAAAACGGCTTTTAGGTTTAACAAGGCTCTGGGAGGTCGTTTTTGTTTGAAGGATCCCTGAGTATAGAGCTTTGCGGTGTTACGGGATAGATGGCCTGCTTGGAGGATCATGGGACTTAGCAAGTAGGGTTAAAAGTACCCTGATTGGGTTTATAAGTATAGTTACCCTAATTATAACTCTACTTACTAAGTCCCATGATCCTTTAAGTGAGAGAATCTCTCGGCAAAGTTTGAGGCTGTTCGGTGATCCTTGTTTGTGGCTCGCAGGCTAATGCGCGTTGAGTCGCTTCGCATCCCGGTGTTGGGATTCCTCATGTAGTGTTCAGGGTTGAGCTGGGGGTATGACGACACACAAGTGGCTTGCCCCGGCCAGAAGTTGTACATGTGGGCTGAGGTACCCCGAAGTGGCTTGTGTAAACACTCTCTCTCTTTCTCTCTCTGAGGACACACAGCGGAACCTGAAGCTGGTGCATGTCTACCCGAAGGCTGGTTTAGTGATACTTAAAGGTCTCCTATGCTGGTACTAAGCGTAGTGAGTGGTTAAGGGAGTTTAAGGTCAGAGCTTAGGGGTGTGGGGATCAGGTGAAGAGGGATTTTGGAGAGTTTCAAGCCTTGTCAAAGGGCTTATCACGTTATTATTACACATCGTTTCATCTGCTAGACCGAAGCAGTCTAGAAAAACTATGAAACCCTACCAAAGAAACCCATCTAACATCCTGTAACGCACTCCAAGACTCCCTAGGTCCGCCCTTGAACTCTTCCAGAAAACAGCCCTGAGTTCCCAGCCCTTATTGTTCAACTCCTGACCCCAGGACGGAGGTTTCCTTTCGGGATTCCCTAAGGGTCCAAGTACCTAACTATCATATACTCTCCAACCTACATAAGTACTATCCGAAACCTGGGTCCTTTGGACCCTTAGGATTCCTTTCAGGGTTGTATAAGGGATGCCATAAGCGTTACTTTGGGGCTACTAAAAGGGCTCATTGAGGGGTTGCTTTGAGGCGTTGCTTTGCGGGTTGTTGATGGTTTCAGCACTCTGACACCTTCGGAGTACCTGTCTAATATAGGAGCCTAAATAATTACCAAAACTATTTGGGGGTGGGGTTCTTATTTATTATGTGTTATGTACCCCCAAGCCCTATTCTAATTATCAAGGCCATTACATTATACTACCCTTATAGATCCCTTGTTGTAACCCTTTTCAGGAACCCTTTAAAAGAGCCCTATTCTAAAAGTTTAAGGCCCTTTATAAAGTTTTAAGGCCCCTACTGGTACCTTACACTACCCTTATAGTCCCTTTTAAAGGAACCCTTTAAAGGAGCCCTATTCTAAATTTTTCAGGCCCCTGTGACTCTGCAAGTTCTGCCGTCAGGTTGAGACAGGCGCCGCAGGAACTGCGGCGAACGGCCACTCGATCTGGGTTTCAATCCCAATGGGTCCAAGTTATAGTGTTCGGGTTTAGGGTTTAGTTGTTTTTGTTTTTTTGGTGTTTAGGGTTTTAATTTGGGGTTTAGGAATTAGGCGATTAGGTTTAGGATTTAGGGTTTAGGGTTAGGGTAGTTATAGAAATGTGTATACTTTGGGGATCCAAATGCCTACTAAGTGTCCACTATAATGGTACTTGCACCCTTAGCGAATGAACTGTACAGGGCTTTTGACTTTAGTTCCCATTTAGGAAGAGGAGAACCTTCTTGGCGGAATGGTCGGTTTGGGCTGAATCTGTGCCCGAGTGCCGGAGACGTGGGCTTGTTTAGCATTACAGGGACCCTCACAAGCAGGATTGGTACGAACGTGGATGCGTCCATGAGACTGTGATGTCTGTAGCATGTCAATGTGGGTTGCAGATGTCCCGGGGTTCGAGATGAGATGACAGGCTTGGCTTCGGTTATCCTAGCAACCCTATTGTAGGGCCTACTAATTACCCATACTATTTTGGAGGTTCCTGAATATTATTTCAGTATGATGGGCCCCAAAACCCTATTCTAATTATTGAAGCCCCTATTTTACACCGACCCTTTCAACCGCGCGATGTTGGTAAATGCTCCGTCCTGACTTCCCTAAAGCTGGAGCCTCCAAAAGGCACCAAGCCACTCTCAAAACCCGCAAACGCCTTTTCCGGGAGTTCGATTCCTTCAACCACTGGCTTTCCCTAAGGGCTATATAGGGACTACATTAAGGCCAATGTATATACTATATGATTCATGGACCCTTAGGCTTTTTCTGAGGAAAGCACGGAGGTTGGTTTCGGCTTGAGGCTTTGAGCTTCAGGGCTTCAGTGATGGGTTTAGGGTTTAGTGTTTAGGGTTGAGGTGTACAGGCTGTGTGCTTAATGGATCGTTGTGTTTGTTTCAGGCGTTTGGGGGCCAGGTTGCGGGGACTCGGTTTCCAGATTCCATTTCTTAACCTGCTTTGCTTCGTGGGATGGAGCAACCAAATCCAAACCTAAGCCTCAAACCCTCAACCCCAATCCAAATCCAAAGTTAAACCGGAATACTACTTCTACAAGCCCTTCAAGCCCGCCCTGCAATAGTTAAATCTGGATTGATGCAGCATTCAGTAGATCCTACAGTTTTTATCTCCACATTCAGGCAACACACCACCCACTGGGACACATCTCCAATCCCACGTCCTGTTACAAGCTGGTGGCCTTGGGCATGCCGAAGTACATTCGGCATGGGATATACGGCTTGTGAATGTTCGACAGGGCTGCATAAGTAAGTTGTTGCACGTGGGCTGCTGGAAATGCAAAAGTAAATATGCAGAGAAGTGGATGCTTAAATACACAAGCAGGGGCATGTTATAAGTATTATATCTGTATACATACATACATACGTACATACATACATACATACATGCATACATGCACACATACCTGCATACCTACGTACATACATACCTACATACATACAGATGTACATGCATACATACATACATACATACATACATACGTACATGCATACATAATGTTCAACCGAGCGTCAGCTATGAAACAAGAACTTGTGCACGCGTTTGTCTATCCATCTCTGTACCCGTCTCTGTACCCATCCAGGTTTCTAATTATTTCTTCACAGTGTCTTGTTCCCTGTTCCTTTCTCGAACCCCACTTAGAACCCTACCGGTGCAGATCCCCCGATCCTCGAAGCTCGGCTGAGGCAGGGCTGAGACACTACTGGAGGCATCTGCACGTGCGCTGGGCTCAGACTTACAGAACCTGAAGTTTTAGGACTGAGTGGTATGTGGGCTTAGGTTATAGGATTTGTGTTTAGGTTGCGGGTTCAGGATTTAGTGTGTGGGAGTTAAGGTCGTGGCCTGGGCTCAAACTTGCACAGACGCCTCTGACAAAGGTGCCTAAACTTAGGGCCTAAACCATGAGCAGTAGAACCTAAGATTCGACCCACATCCCCAAACCACAATCCAAAACCTTCAGCCCTTAGCTTCAGTTGAATAGGACATTTGGTTGTTTGCCCGAAGGTTTGTTTGCTCCTACCGTTAACCCTTTGAGTTCCTTTAAAGGGGTCTATAAGGGCTACCATAAGAGATCTATCATGGAGTTCTATGATATAGGGGCCTAGATAATTAATTACCAATTCCATGTATGGGGGGTTCCTTATTCGAGTCAAAACCTGCAGCAGCTTTCTGAGGCTGTAAGTCAAAGCGCATGGAATCTCAAGCTGTCTCGATTTCCATTAAAGCCTCATTGCAAGCTCTAGAGACTGTGAAGCATTCTCCTGCCCGGAGCTGGTGATTATCAGAGAAAGCTTCAGCATTGCATGCTAGTCGGAGTTTCTACACCGAGTTGAGGGGTTTGGAGTTTCGGGTACTTTACAAAATAGTGCATGAAAACTAGGGCCAAGTCCCAAGAGCCCGAAGTTGCCGACCAGGTGGTGGCGGCCCCGTTTGACGCTTTTACGAAGGAGGTGCTTGCGGGGTTTCTGGCTGTTGGGTTTTGATTAAGGGATTTTGTGCAGGGCTTCGGGCAGGGATTATCGTCAGTTTATAGAAGGGGTTGGGGTTGTACGGCTTTCGGGAATGCGGGGGATCTAGGTCGAGTAAGGTCGAGGGCCTAATTATTCTCTGAACCCGAAGTAAAGTCAAAGTCTTCCGCAAGGGATCCTGAGTCAAGTCATATCTGTTAGGGTTTAGGGTTTAGGGTAGGGGTTTCCTTCAGTAGAACGGTTGGTGTCCAAAGAAATTGTGCCTTGCGTAAAGCCCTCTGGCCTTTGATGTCGTGAACCGACAGATGTTGCACGTGAAAGCCTAAACCGCAACCCTCCATGGTTTTTAAGCCAGGGCTCCCTAAGGTCAGCATCTCAGGGGTTTCGTAGGTCTGCAGGTGAGTTCGACATCCGACATGACTTCTACAGGTCTAACCTCAAACGAACAGAAACTCTTTTTTCCTGTAGCGCAACCCGCTTTAGAGCTGGTTCGGGGACCTGCGGACCTGCTGAGTGCACGCCGGTTTTAACCTGAGCCTTCAGGGCTACGGGTCGAAGGGTTAACCCTAAGGGTCCAAAGGACCCAATAATTATGTACTGGGGTTTAGGATAGTAGTTATGTAGGTTACTTTTTTGAGAGTATATGATAATTGGGTACGTGGACCACTAGGGTAAGGGTTTAGGATCATCCTGGTCTGGATTTTAGGCCGCACTCCTTCGATGTCATGAGTTGAGGATTGAATATAGGGGTCTGACCAACTAGTAGCAGTATCGATCCTCGTACAGTCCCAGCACAACTATGTGCTTGCGATGCACCCCCCCCCCCCCAAGCCTTGTTCTACTTCGTAAGGCCCCCAAAGGTAACCCAGACCATCCCTTCTATCCTTCTAGAAGCCCGTCAACGAATCCTCGTAGAAGCCCTACTCTGTTTATTGAGGCTCCCGTACGGGTCCTTACTTATAGTTATAGCGACAAGGTACCCCAAAACCCTATGCTGATTTTTAGGGCCCCGATACTTAACCCCCATAATATCCCGATAGAACCCTTATAGACCCCTTGAACAGGAACCCTTTAAGGAACCCTATTCTAACTAATAAGGCCCCTACATTACCTCATATAAGGGGGTCGGAGGCCGAGGTTCGAGGTGTCAAGGCCACCGTCAGGTGACCACGTGGCTGCGATCTACAGACACTGCCCGGCTTGAGGACTGGGATTGCCACCTTAGGGTTTAGGGTTTCAGGGTTTAGGGTTTGGGGGGTTTTGGGGTTTTAGGGGTTTAGGGTTTAGGGTTGAGGGTTTAGGGGCTTAGGGGTTTAATGGGTTTCTTTCAGGGGCTTGAGGACTGGGATTGCCACCCTAGGGTTTAGGGTTTGGGGTTTTAGGGTTTGGGGTTTAGGGTTTTGGGGTTTTAGGGGTTTGGAGTTTAGGGATTAGGGGTTTAGGGTTTAATGGGTTTCTTTCAGGGGCTTGAGGACTGCGAGGGCCACCTTAAGGTTTCTGTACTATAGGGAGCTTAAAATTTAGAATAGGGTTTTGGGGGGGGTTTATTATACTATAGCTACAATAAGGAACCCCCAAATACTACAGGTAATTATTAAGGCCTCTATATTACGGGTTTCTTTCAGGGGCTTAGCGGCTTGAGGGCCCAAGTACCCAAGGTAGGGTTTTCGGTGCCGAAAACCACGCAGAGTGCAGTATGTGGGACGTCAAGCCCTCCAAAGTAAGTACTGGGACTCTGGCAACGTCGGGTGTTGGTTGCTTGGTGGAAGCCGTGCTCGAACATTTGCGTACGATGATGTTGTTTTTCTGTTTTTGCGTTGAGTCGGCACCACCAACATCAAACGAAAGCGCACGCGCAATCATCACACTAAGGAGCAGAGTGCTATGAGCACCTGCGATAGAAACAGCAGCAGCAGCAGCGGCAGCAGCATGAAGCAGGTGCGTCGTGTCATCATCAGGCTTCAAGTACAAGTAGTCATGGCCAAAAGCTCGTCCCAAGGGTGTATTCAACGCTGAGCTAAGCTTGACATGGAGCTCAAGTCGACTGTCATGTCAATTCAAGCCATGATAGACATAGGCTCTCAGAGGCAGAATCATTCTCCAGTTTGAAGGGTGTTTTTTTTCTGGCAGGAGGGTTGCGGTTGAGGTATCTGGTGACGATTTAGGCGAGGGCTTAGGCTTAAACCCTGAATCCCTAAACCCTGAACCCTACGACTCCATGACCCTAGGTCCCTAAACCCAAAACCATAAAACCCTAAACCGAAGCAACAACGATGAACTTCCAGTCTCCTGAGTTTGCCGAAGAACGAAATAGGAGCTTCCGAAAATAGGGGGACCCTAATATAGTACCCTAAATAGTAGGATCCTTGTTATAAGGACCCCATAATAAGGTACCCCCTAATTTCGTAAACTCCCAAATAGTTACTGTGTGCTTTCCGCACAGTGCTGGAAGGATCATGGGACATGGGAGTTTCCGAAAATTAGGGGTACCTTATAATAAGGGATCTATATGGGTTCCCTAAAGGGATCTAGAAGGGTTCTGTAAAGGGTTTAGGGTTTAGAGTTTCCGAAAATTAGGGGTACCTTTCAATAAGGGATCTATATGGGTTCCCTAAAGGGATCTAGAAGGGTTCTGTAAAGGGTTTCGGGTTTAGAGTTTCCGAAAATTAGGGGTACCTAATTGGTGTCCCTCAATAAGGATCCTATCATTTAGGGCACTATATTAGGGTCCCCCGATTTCGGAAACCGCCACATAGTAACTATAAGGCTATGACTGGGCGTTGTAACTATAGGCACACTTACTTACCTATAACCGCAATTGAGGTGCTTATAACTGTACTTGCTAGGTCCCATGATCTCCAAGTAAGTACCCAAAGGGTCCTAGGAACTGTTATGGGGAATACTTCCCCAAATCATAGTAATAATTCCTAATATAGAAACCCTACATTCTACTATATAGGTACTTTGGACCCTTTGGGGTCGGCATGGTGGACATTGATCTTGCCTTAGGAAGTTCCAGACTCCGACTGGAACACAACCACAAGGGTGTTCGCTACCCAGACGTTTATAGTATAGGTATACATTCGCAGTATAGTCTAGTATTTATTTAGTAGTATATACGTATAGGAAGTGTATCTTTAAATTTATGGTCTATTATTCAGTATTACGCACTACATAGCGTATTAGCCAGGTATTTAGTATCATAAACTACATACCGTAGAACCAACATATCAAGAAAGGACAACCCCTAAACCCTGAGCACTACACCCTAAACCCTACACCCTAAACCCTAACCCTGACCCCTAAACCCTGAACCCTAAACCCTGCACCCTAAACCCTAACCCTGGACCCCTAAACCCTGAACCCTAAACCCCTAAACCCGAAACCCACAAGCAACAGAAGCCCTCACCAGGCCCTCCAGAGCTTCCTAGCTGAGGCTGCTGAAGAGCTGGAGGCCTCTCCACGACGTATTGTAGGTTTAAGGTTTAGGGTTGAAGAGTTTGGGAGTTTAGAGGTTTAGGAGTTTAGAGGTTTAGGAGTTTGGAGGTTTAGGGTTTAGAAGTTTAGGGTTTAGATTATAGGGTTGACTAGCCCCTTATCTTAGTATGTCATAGTCCTGTGAGAAGCCCCTTCGCATAGGGGTTTCCGAAGTCGTATAGGGTTGTTTGCACCGAGCATTATAGGGCTGTATAGAATGTTACAATGCCCCTAAACTTAAGTATTGCTTAAGTAGGGGGCGTTGGGTTCCTTGATGTCTTTTCAGTTGAGAGATTTTTTGTTGGTTTTGGTGAGTTAGGTCGAAGCCCACACGTTCGGGCCCTCGGCTTCTATGCTTCGAAAGGCATTTGGGGCTCTTCTTCGGGCTTAGGGCTGCGCATTCATATTTCAAAGGGGAAAAGGAGGGACCCTTAATGGGCTATATAATGGGTATATAGTAGCTACATTAAGGGTATATACCTAGGGGTCTTTATTAAGGGTCCCTCCTTGTACCCTTGGAATAGTGTTTCTGAGTGGAGTTCGAAGTCTCAGGGTCGAAAGTTCTACTCGGGTGCAACCCGTAAAGTCGCCCTTAGGCAAAGGGAACCCTTATGAAGACAACCTTACAGGAGTCTTTGAAATTCGCCAACTGGGGTTGCAAATTCTGAGCCCTGCCCAAATTCGACTAAACCCTAAACCCCAAACCCTAAACCCTAAACCTCAAGCCCTAAACCCCAAACCCCAAACCCTAAATCCTAAACTCTTATAAACTCTAAGATGCACGGAGCGTGCGCCTTGTTACTGGCAGGCCACGGAGAAGGCTTATCGGCTGGGACAGCAGGCGCAACTTCTAATATAGGGGCCGTAACAGCTATAGCTATGCAGTTTTTTTTTTTGGGGGGGGGGTCCTCATTAAAGCTTTTGAAATTGCAGCGCGAGACCCTGAACTCAGAAATTCAATGAGCCCCCTGCCCCTGTTATATGTACCCAGCGAGCCCAATACCCCTTACTTACGGAATATACTTGAAATTATAATTATTGGGGACTGAATATTATGATTTAAGGTACATGCCTTAATTAAGGGGTATTGAGCTTTCTGGGTAGGCACCTCTAATCATAGGGATCCTTAGGGGTGTAGGGGGAGGGGGGGGGTAGGGGGCCTTAAGGCCCATAATAAGGACTAATAAGGCCTATTTAAGGAAATATAGTCCCCTACACCCCTCCCCCCTGCACCCCTAAGGATCCCTATGGATTTTCTGGGTATAGGCACCTCTAAACCCCGGAGTCCCCCAACGCGCAAGCCAGTCAAATTCTTGTAGGTTTGGCAGGGAATTTGATCGGAAACAGGGCTTTAGGGCTTAGGACTTAGGGCTTAGGGCCCAGGGTTTTAGGGCTAAGGGCCTAGGGCTTTAGGGCTTTATAGGGCTTAGGGACGCTCGAAATCTAAAAACGCTTAAACTTTACAGGTCTAGGCTTGGGCTGTCTATCTTGTTGAGCTGTGCAATTGGCAGTCAAGTTCCGGGCTCCTGGGCAAGGGTGAGGATTCGGGATTCGGGATTTGGGTTTAGGGTTTAGGGTTTAGGGTTTAGGGTTTTGGGGTTTAGGGTTTAGGGTTTTGGGGTTTAGGGTTTAGGGTTTAGGGTTTAGGGTTTTGGGGTTCAGGGTTTAGGGTTTAGGGTTTAGGGTTTTGGGTTTTGGGGTTTAGGGTTTAGGGTTTAGGGGATTTGAGTTGCGGCTTGGCTTGAGGATTGCAGTGTTAGCTATATACTGAGCCAGCACCTCACTTGGTCCTTGTGTTTACGGGGTTGCCTGAGAGCCTCCCTTAATATTAAGCCCTAAACCCTTAAAGCCTAAACCCGTCAACCCAAAACCCCATAAACCCTCTAAGCCCTTAAGCCCTAAACCCTTAAACCCTTAAACCCTTAAGCCCTTAAGCCCTTAAGCCCTTAAGCCCGTAACCCTGTACCCTATATCCCAAACCCCCAAATCCCCCCGACTGTCGGATCTCGCAACCCCTAACAGTCCAAGTACCCAAATTGTAAGGTTTCAAGGTCCAAAAACCCTTCAGAGTAATTATGGATTTTGGGACCTGAAACCCTACTATTTGGGGACTAAACCCTAAACCCTAAACCCTCTGAGAACAGGTGTCGGAGGCCCGCAGCAGGCGAAGCTTGGCAGCGCATGGCGTGAGTTTCGGTTTCGGCACGAATTTCACTAAATCCTAAGCCCCTACACCCTAAACCCCTACAGCCTGAACCCTACAACCCTATGCACCCTAAACCCCTAAACCCCCCAACACCCTTAACCCCTACAACCTAAGACCCTAAACCCTAAACCCCTACACCCTCAAGCATCGAGGTTCTTGAGGAAGCATCACGTGGTTTTTGACCATGCCGAGTTCTTCCAATCCCCGAGGATGCCGCGAGTGGGCCCCGAACCCCAACAGGGTGCACCCCCACCAGCCGGCGACGGGTGGGTGCGTTGGAAGAGGGGAGCATCAGCGTGAGGATTACACCGTCATCTGCAGCATCAGCACTGTCAGTCTAATCTTTGCTCCAACGGGCAAAATCACTGTCACTGGTGTTGTCGATCACTTCGCAAAGTCGGGGAGGATTGCCAGATGCGACCTGCGACCTAGGAGAATCACCCAAAGGCTCCATGTACCTTTATAGTAGATACTTAGGCCTTAAAGGGGTCCCTATATAGGTACTCTAAGGCCTGAGTATGTACTATTTGGGTACATGGAGTCTTAGGGTCAGATGGATCGAAACAACGCTCACCACCTGTATGGTCATGTGACACGGTTTAGAGTTTAGGGTTTAGGGTTCTAAACCCTAAACCCTAAACCGTTGTGTAAACTCCTCGCCGCGTTGCAGTTCCCTGGCATGGACGAGGACACAACGTTCGAGGATGCAAGCGACCGCCAGAGGAGAACCGCGATCCCCGTGGGAGGAGGCGCCCTAAGCCCCTACACCCAAACCCCCGAGCCCCAAACCCCTACACGCTAAACCTCTGCGTCCTAAACTCCTACACCCTAAACCCAACTCCCAAACCCTGAAAACCTCAACCCTCATACTGCTGCCCAGCACCAACAGTCTCAAAATACTAGCTGTCCGGATTCCTTCTTGCTTGGAATACAGCAGCCGTATGGATCCCTTCTAGAGTCTAGCGCCATCCCCTGAAGGAGCCCTCGTCTAACTATGAAAGAACCGTCAGGGTCCATCTATTCCCCAGAAGTGCAGGTTTTAGGGTTTAGGGTTTGCTAGTATAGATGGACCCCTTTTTTGTGTGGCCTCTTGGTGCTGGTTTGAAGATGAGGGCTGAGGGCTCACAGGCTTGGGGTGCGGAAGGGCTTCACATGCCAAACCTGAGGCCGAATTTCTCAGACTTCGTTCAACCCTGAACCGTAACGATTGGGGTTCAGGGTCTAAGGTGTATATACGGGTTTAAAGTTAGGTGGTTTTCGGGGTTAAGATTCAGGGTTTGGGACTTAGGGCTTTGGGTTTAGGTTTTGGTGTACTTCCAACAATCGAGGCTACGACGAACTGGGTGGCTTTGAGCATGTGGCCGAGTGCAGACAATGGCTGCAACGGGCTGGATGCCAGCCTGCACTTCAGAGATGTATGCTTAGGGTTAAGTTATTAAGGGCTTCAAGAATCAGAAGTGTCACTCTTTAGGCTTCCTCTTACTCTAGATACGGCATACTACACCGCCCCGTTGCAGCAAACCTCATAAGCAAGGCCTTCTATGTTAGGGCTGATACGGTTGATGATATAAATCTTGCATTACATTTTACAGGGAATATACCATAATTCCCATAGTTTAGGGTCCTTACGGTAATGCTGGATTTATATCATCAGCCGTAACTGGTGACGCGTCTTCGGGCTGCAGTGTTCAGGTTGCGGCTCTGCGGCTGTGGCGGAGCTTGTTTTTGTAGCTTCCAGAGCTACTCTGAAGGCTTCAAAAAAGCGGGCCCTTGAGAATGAGAATAAGGTGTCGGGGTGTATTGTACTAGAGTTGTAACAATATTGAGCCCGTGCCCTCTTGGATTCACCGAGGGAGCGCGATTTCTACTGTCAAGGCAACCGTCCTAGACAGGTTGGGCGGCAAACGCGCGGCCCAGACTCAGCTTACATGTAAACCCTAAACCCTATAAACCCTAAACCCTAAACCATGACCTCATGTGAACGCTGCCAGACAGAGAGAGTTGTAACAAGGGGCCCGAAGGAGCAGTATGGAGCAGTCTTAAGTTTGTATCAGGTTCTAGGAAGGACCCAAAGCGCTGCAAAGCTGTGGCCTAGGCTGCCATGTCCTGCACGACGTTTAAGGCGATTCTAGCATGGGGGCTTTGAGAAGAGTCTCGCATGCCGACAAGAACTTGAAGCTAAGAACCCATCTTTGTACGTCAAGGTGTCATCTTTAGGATTTAAACCTCGAGAGTTGAAATTCACCGCAAGACCCCAACACCCTTAGTCCCAAGACGTTGAAACATCCTCAACTGCTACAGGGATTGAATAAGTAGCAAGAAACCCCCCTTTGATTCCCTATATATTTACACAAATTGCATTGAAACTTTGCCAAAGCACTCTATTCTAACTACATAAAAAGGAGAAAACGCCTGATAAGGCCCATGTTGCAGGCTGCTAATCCTTAGGGATCACAATAGCCCAAAACCCTTATATGGTATGGTCTTTGGGCCCAAAAGCCTTCATATGAGTCCTTTAGATCCCTAGAGAATCTCAAACCCAGCCCGGAGTCTCCACCGCCTAGAGCCCAAATACCATTCTCGGTCGGGTGAAGACTTCGTAGTGTTTAGGACGTAGGGTTGAGGGCTTAGGGGTTAGGGCTTAGGGTTTAGGGGTTAGGGTTGAGGGACTACAGGGGCCTATCGGGCTCATAGGGCTTGCAGGGTTGACACTTTAGGATGAGTTTGGGGGTTAAGCTAAAGCCTTCTAAACCCTGAGCCCCAAGCCACACCTTGCACCTGGAGTGAGGCCATAAGAGCCAAACTCAACTAGAGCCCAGGGGAGACTGTCGCCCCTTCGCCGCATGTGCCGCGGCTATTTTCGAGCAGGCTTACATGTCAGGTCAGTGCAGTTGTGGTTCTGTGTAGCCGTTACAGGAAAGTTGCGTCAATGGTTTCGGGCACGGTTTGAGTGTGTGGCATCGTTGTTTAGGATGTGTATAGACTCCCCATGATTTCTTCAACGTCGTTCAGGTCTGGGATGGTAATCCCTGCATGATCCGACAACAAGTTTGCCACACACCCGATTTCAAGCCCGGCCAGTCGTAGAAAGTCCCGGCAGCCACGCTGACAGCCTTAATGTTGAACCCACAGAAGCCCTCAGTACAGCCCTACAGTTTCATTACTCCCAAGCCGAAGCATCCCGAAGCGTCTGCTGCACTTCGCTCCCGACCTCATAAAACTATAGGCGACCCAGCCCGCAGCCGACCCAAGTCGCAACCACAAGTTCCGGCAGACCACTGTATATGGAAACACCTGTCCGTCTTATCAAGACTAAGATGATCTGGGCAATTTATTCGGTCTCTGATACCAAAGCCTTCATCTCTAAACCCGAGAAGTACCTTTAAAGCTAGTACAATTACAGAGTAGGACGTGTTTTCAGTTCTGCTCAAACATAAAGCTTGGCCTTCAAGCCTGTAAAGGCAGCCCTAAACACAAATAATCCCTGGCCTGTAACTTAATGGTAACACAGTTTCAGGCCGTAAGCCTTAAGCCCTAAGCCGTACTTCAACTCAGAATAACCTACCCTTTTTGAGGACCTATATATGGAAAACCCTAAGCCCTAAACCCCTCAACCGTAACTATAGATCCTTATTATAGTAACCCCCGCCTTTAAAGGAACCCTAAATCCCAAACCCTAAACCCTCTCCCAGGCTGTCGCAGGCGCCTCCGACGGAGTCACTCTGAGTTTGGAGTCGCCGGCTTTGGCCCAGCTGCAGGAGGCCATGCCCGGGTTGAGGGCTTAGGGGTTCGGTTTAGGGCTTTGGGAAGTTTAGGAACTTTAGGGGTTCGGTTTAGGGCTTTGGGAAGTTTAGGAACTTTAGGGGTTCGGTTTAGGGCTTTGGGAAGTTTAGGAACTTTAGGGGTTCGGTTTAGGGCTTTGGGAAGTTTAGGAACTTTAGGGGTTCGGTTTAGGGCTTTGGGAAGTTTAGGAACTTTAGGGGTTCGGTTTAGGGCTTTGGGAAGTTTAGGAACTTTAGGGGTTCGGTTTAGGGCTTTGGGAAGTTTAGGGCTTTAGGGGTTCGGATTTCGGGCTTTGGCATGGGGTGTCGGGTTTAGGTTGTCGGGTCTCAGAAGGGTTTAGTTCAGTGTGGAAAGCTAGACAAGGGTACCCAGTCCAGGGAGTACAAGGTTCCGTTTGTTCGGGGGTTCAGGGACAGGAAGGTGGTTCATGCTTGAGGTTCGAGGTGGAACCGATGGCGGGAGATATCAGTGATTTGTCTAGGTTTCTGCATAATGATGTGCCGTTGCAGATGCTCTCCCAATCTCCCGCTCAGATGAACGAGGTTGGATCTTCAAATGCTGATGTGGTCCGAATGATGCGGCAGCTAGAGAAAATCATTGGGATCTTATCGCTATGAGCCAAGTACCGCAGAACTGTGAGGGTCTACGTCTTCGTCATGAGATGAAGCGTAGTAGTACACACCTGCTATGCATTGGTCTGCCGACGACGGTTGCAGGATCAGAGCAGCCGCGTGGTGCCCTGAGAGCCCAATACCCCCTAATTAAGGAATATACGTTAAATCATAATATTAAGTCCCCTATAGTTTAAAGTATATTCCGTAATTAAGGGGTATTGGGATCTCGGTGCAGCATTGCAAGCGGCCAGGCTTATGGCCAGGCAAGCGAAGCATGCAACAGATTGACGACTCAAATGCGCGAGCCGTCGCACTGCAGCGAAGCACTTGAGTCAGAAGGTTGAGGACCCAATACCCCTCAATTAAGGAATATACCTTAAACAGGGGGCTTAATTTTGTGGTTAAAGCTATATGTTCCTCAATTAAGGGGTGTAGTTTTGTGGTTTAAGCTATATTCCATAATTCAGGGGGTTTTAGGATCTCAAGACGGTTGAGGACCTAGGTGGCCAGTTGTCTGTTCAAGACGCTGTGGGTAAGCAGGTGAATGAGCCCAGAACGCCATAAGCCCTGCACCATTAACTCCCTAAGCCCTCGACCCTCAACCCTTAACGCCTTTAAAACCCTTTAAGCACCGAAAACCCTAAACCCAAACCCTGTACTTATAAGGGTTCAAGTGGTCCTTATTTATGGCTGTTGGCACCCGAAAAGGGCCCAAAGTCCTATTAATAGAGCACTCGGACCCTTAGGGTACCCAGAGCCTCCAAGATCCCTTCATGAAGGAATATACCTTAACTTATAATAGGACCCCTAATATTATGATTTCCAGGTATATTCCTTAAAAAAGTGGTTTTGGAGACTCTGGGTAAGCCTGGAGCCCCAAGACCGCGCTCAAGCTTTCGCCAGGCCGCCGTTCCCGAAGCGCCCAGCGCTCCCGGCGGAGGCGATGACTTCTGGTTTGATGTTTTTTTTGAAGGTTTAGAGCTTAGGGCTTAGAAGCTTCGCGCTGTCGGGTTTGTAAGTTTTGCTCTGGTGACCCAGTACTGCGTACATATGCGTATATATATATATATACACACACATTCAGATACGTATCTTTTCATATGTATATATGTATGTTGAATGACTATATCTTTGTTATCCTCAGCTGTCCCTTGTTGGTGCAGTCTGGTCAGGTTCAGGTTCACATCTTACGGCAGGGGTCTTCTGTTACTCTTTGCAACTTATGCCGTGTTTTCTTGCCCTTGCAACATGATCCCCGAACCTCCAGGTCTGCTGAGTTTACTTATGGCGTATAAGACCCTACAGAGTGGTCGCAGGAAAGATCTCTAGTGCATGTACTCCCGACACGAATCAATAGCTGAGAGTCTCGGGGTCTTTAGCCAACCCTAACCCCAAGGGTCCAAAGGACCCAATAATCAGGTACTTGGGTTTAGGGTAGTAGTTATGTAGGTTAAAATTTGGGGGAGTTTACGATTGTTAGGAACTTGGACCCTTAGGGTAAGGGTCCATGTGCCCTAATAGTAACTACTTTGGCCCCAAAGTACCAATACAGGGACTACTTCAAGCCCAAAGTATATACTATTTAGGTAAATGGACCCTTAGGGCAAGAAAGCTATGGCAACCAACTGATGAGAGACGCGGAGCCTCGCACGAGAACTCAGAGGTTGCATACTCGATGTTTAAACTCGCAAGTTATCTGCAGTATCTTTCTAAACCTAAAAGGCATATATTCAAAGCCTACCAAGTCCCATGCAATCTTCTACCAACGACCCTAATGGGGCCAAGCATCCAAGAGGCGGGTCCAGTGTGAGGCCGGGGGCTTCGTATACGTTAGCGGGGCTTCGGAGTACCATACTATAATACTTTTTTGTGACCTGGTAAGTCTATTTTTTCTCCCTGGTTACTTAAAAAGCCCAGTTAGGGTTTAGTGTGTGGGGCTTCTGCCTGCGCCTTACTCGCACCTTCCGTTGTCGAGCGCATCGTTCTCATCATGAACCGGTATTTTCTAGTAATGAGGTTGAGAGTGGAGGTTGGGCTTGAAGGTTTGGGACCGAGGAGTGTGATCTAGGGGCAAGGTGTCGGTGTAGGTTCTACGGTCTGGGTGTTAGTTTTGGACATTTCCTGTCAGGTGATGCTGTTGACGACGACGATAGTTGGCTACAAAGCCGGCTGCAAAAAACGAGGCACGACACTATGCACTGCATCATGTGCCGACCATCATCATCACCATCATCATCATCATGATCATCATCCTCAACATCCCTGGCTTGTCCCCACCACGTGCCCACAACAGGTGGCCTCTCAATCCTAGGTCCTAGACTAGACTCTTGAATCGCCTGCACTGCATCTCCGAACATTTGAACTTCTCGTGTGGGAGCCGAAGTGAGGCAGCCCCCCAGAGACCCAATTTAGTAATGTAGGAACCTGAGTAAGAAGCCTTGGGCCGAAATTAGGGCTCCTTTTCTGAATCCTACTATTTTGGGGTTATAGGCCCTGGGTTTCCTAATCAGGTTCCTACATTGAGTTCCTTGCTAAGCAACGACCCCCGGAAGTTGGAGAGGCCCCCCGATTCTGCGAAACCCACGTTCATGGGGCCTGCATTCCTCAACAACTGCTTGGAGGGTCGGGGGACTTAGTAACTGGTTATTTTAGGGACTTATAAGTACCATAACCCCAATTAGGGTCCCTTTTAGGGTACTTATAAGTCTACTTACTACCTACTTACTAAGTCCCCCGACCCTTCAAGTGAGAGGTGAGGCTCTGTCTGCTGTTTGGGTATTTCACGCGTCCTCCGTGTTGTCGTCACAACCTTCCTTCTCCTCCTTGTCGACTTGTCCCCAGCTTTTCAATTCATCTGCCGCTCTGCTCGCATGTGGGATACTGCAGCGTGGCTCTCTTCATTGTTATCTTCCTTCCGGCGCTCATCAGTAGCATCATCAAGGACGTGGCCAGCAGTCACCTGTTTCATCTCCGCTTTCAAGAGCACCATTAACGTCAACGACGTGCACATTGGTGCCGCAGCCGCCCGCGCTGTAATCACTACCACCATGTTGATCACGGTAGTCATAGCGATCGCCACCACCGCCGTCATCCTGATCGCCCGTACCATCAATGTCACCGTCATCATTACTTCTCGTCATCGTGGCCGGCATTGCGATCATCATTAGCAGCAGCATCATTTCTGAAACCTTGTGCTTCGTGAAGGGAAGTCCGTAGCCATAGAACACGAGTGCATGCAACCCGAACTTATCCCTCAGGGTCCAGGTACCTAATAATCACATGCTCCCGAAACATGGTGCATAGTAATTATTATCTTCGGTTAACGTGGCATATCATTGCTAATTGAAGTTTAGTGTATCGTGAACTGAAAAAAGGCGCTCCTTGACAAGAACCCAGTAGTCTCTTCACACAGTGCGGCAGCAAGTACGCAAAAGACTGTTTATACTTATTGCCACAAACTCCGCTCCGCGCCCCAAGCCCGGTACCCGCCAACGCCCCAAGCCTGGGAGCTAAGCCGAAACCCTAAACCCTCAGGCACCTAACTGCCAAATCCTCACTGCCGAGATCCCAAAGCCTTCAAGCCCAAAAGCCCGAATCCCCCAGCGCTAAGACCCCCAAGACTGTCTTGTGAGGCACGAAAGCTCCAAACTGCAAGCAGAGCTTTCTGCAGAGAAGCCCCTGCAGAAGACCCGCAGCTCAGCAATACTTGCTGCTTTTTGAGGCTTTTTTGCTCGAAGGCTTGAGGATTTAGGAGTTTGGGGTTTAGCGTGTGGGTTTAGGGTTCCAAGGCTTACTTGGAGGTTCATAAGTAGGTATAAGTATAGGGTTAGAAGTCCCCTAATGTGGACTGTAACTATAGTGATCCCACCCTAAACCTGAAACCGTATAAACCCGAAGCCGTACAAACCTTAAACCCAGAGAGCCCAATACCCCTTAAATAAGCAATAGACCTTAAATTATAAGGGACTTCATATTATGATTCAAGCTATATTCCTTAAGGGGTATTGCAATCCCCTAAACCCTAAACCCTACAGAAAGCTCTAAACCCTGAAACCTAAACCCTAAAACCTAAACCCTTAAACTCTAAACCCTTAAACCCTTAAACTCTTAACCCTAAACCACCCATCCCAAAGCTGAGGCGAATCGCTCCCTGCCCACGGCCAGCGGGAGGCGATCCAGAAGGCTGCGCTTGCCTGAGGATGGTCGTGCTGAGGGCGTTGGGGGATGTAGGATTTAGGGTTTAGAGGGATTTGGGGTTTAGGATTTAAGATATTGGGTTTAGAGGGATTTGGGGTTTAGGGTTTGGGGCTCTGGGGGCTTTGGGGTTTAGGTTTTGGGGTCTGGGGCTTAGGGCGCTGCGGTTTAGGGTATAGGGCTTTGGGGCTTAGGGTTGCAGGGGAATCAGCTGTTGCGTTGTCCGCGTCTTCGTGTTCTCATGCATTCGCTGATACTGTTGTGGTATGCTGTAATTACTATTATACTGTACTATACTTAGCTGTTTGGTCGTAGTGTGCTAGATTTTGATAACACTTCGAAATCATGATATACTGCATCGTGCTTTTGTCATATACGTTCTATGTCTTGTGCCCTATGATGTTATAGGAACAGATAAACATTGTCTGTAGAATCTGTACATACAGCATGCATACATACATACGTGCGTGCGTACGTACATACTTACATACATACGTACCTACGTACATGCATATATACATACATGCATACACACATACACATACACACATACATAAACGCACATACATTCATACCTACATACTCACACACACAAATACCCCCCCCCCCCATGCATGCATGTGGCTACACTAGACCACAAGTCCTAAGCTAAAGTCAAGCTGAGGTCGGCGAGTCGCAAGTGGTTGTGATCGAGGGCGACACCGGCTGTGGGACCTTGGGATTGCTCAGTTCCCGGGATTTGGGTTGAGGGTTGAGTTTAGGGTTTTCAGGCTATGTCGAGTAAGGTTATGTTCTGAGCTTTTGGTTGGGTGTAGTATGGGGTTGCCATGGCTAGGATTTGAGTTGATTTTGTAGGTTTGGTTGAATATTAGGGCTAATGTAATTTGGGGCTTCCTTCTTAAAGTATAGTACATATCTCTCTCTATGGCTACCATGAGGGCATATCGCTTCAGGGATTTGGGGTCTGGGGTCTGCTTCAGGGTTTCGGGCCTAGTCATCTAGGCCTTTCGGTTGAGGGTTTAAGGTTTCAGGGGCCAGGTTCGATGTTCATTTGGGTTCTAAGGTGTGGGTTGTAGCTATGCTTTCAAGATTGAATAGGGTTTGGGGTTTGGGATCTTTTGAACTGCCTAGGGTTGCGGTTGCAAGGCCTACTATGTGTTTCCCTTCACCCCAACCCAGAGCCTCCAAAACCCCTTAATTAAGGAAAATACCTTGAATTATAATAGGATCCCTAATATGATTTTAAGGTATATTCCTTAAGTGGTTTTGCAGGCTCTGGGAAGCTCTTAAGCCCAACCCGGCCCGACCGAGTATCGTCCTCATTTGAGACAACTTCACGGAAGCCAAATATTCCTTCAACCAAGGAACCTTCGAACATGTTTAAAGACTTAAACCCAAAGGGTCCAAAGTACCTATATAGTAGCATGTAGGGTCCCTATAGTAGCAATTGTGATTATGATTTGGGGAAGTATCCCCCGTAATAGTACCTAGGACCCTTTGGGAAAGATTTAGGGTGTAGGAGGTCGCCGGACTTTAGCACTACTAAACTGAGGGGTTGTCCTGGATTCCAAGACTTTGTCATAGTTGGGTAACGTTTTACATGTTTCTGGGTACTTAAACACAATAAGGAATAGAAATTTAAATTCTTAATCCTATCCCAACCATGAACTAGAAGAGTGTTGGCTCCAAAAGATCGGACCCGACAAGGATTCAATCCCTGTGAAATGTCGCAAAGCCCTGTAGTGCAAGAAGCCGTTCATGCCCGGGTTAATATGTCATAGTCATATTCAAACGATGCCAAAGCCAGTTTTTGGAAGTTACCACAACTGCTTGAACCAACAACCCTGAACCGCAAGCCGTACAAACCCTACACCCCTACGCCTAAAGCCCCGACGTACCAAGAACCTGTCAGGAAGTCGACGCAAGTCCCCCAGAAGCCCGGCAGCACTGGAATGGTCTTAAAGCTGTATGGCGGATCCTCCCCCAATCCCAAACCCTGAACCGTGAGACGCTGATGCAATGCCTATCCTAACTCATAGGTTCTTGATTTTTTACATCCGATCTTTTCCTACCCTCTAGAGCCCGAAAGCCGAGGCCTTCACAATTAAGGGTTCAAGGTTTGGGATTTAGGGCTTTTGGGGTTCAGGGTTTAGGGTTTCAGTTCTTTGATCCTTTCTGCTGGCGTCCTGCACACTGGTGCGAAGTTCTGGGTGGGGGCCTGGCTTTCGAAGTGTTTGTTCAGGGATTTGTGGCGTATTGCTTTGTGATAGAGCTTAGAGGTTAGGCTTTGGGGCTTTGAGGGTATAGGGCGTAGTTCACAAAGGAGCTTTGTGTGTAGGATTTCGGGGTCGCAGTCGCGGGATGGCGTCGATGCCAATGATGCTAACTACGAGCACCGTTTTCGGAGCTAATACCCTAAACCCAAAACCCTAACTACAAGGGCTATCCAGAGCCTGAGTGGGAGGGTCGGCCCGAACCCTCAACCTGGTTTCGGTCCTGGTGCAGCATGCTGCATGAATAGCCAACATAGGATGTGGCAGTCTCAGCTTTGAACCATTCCCCAAGGCTCCAATGGAGCCAATAATTGGGTACTGCGGCTGTAGGATAGTAGTTATGTAGGTTAGGATTTTGGAGAGTATATGATTATTAGATGCTTGGACCCTTGGGGGATGTCGCTCATAACCCCGAAATGGAGCCGTATTTACCTTCGCTACTAGGGATCAGTGGCGCCTACGATTCCACCGTTTTACCCCAGGCTTTGAAGGTTTGCACGAGAGACATTGAGGTTGACAGGGCGTTTAGAAACAGTTGCGGAAAAGATGGCCGGCGCGATGATCGTCCGTGGAGGTCAGTTTTTGTTTGGGCAATCTGCCACGGGTGAAAATGAGACGGGTTTCCTCACAGCACTTCACAACTTGACTGGGCCCAACAGCGAAGCTGGTCCATTGAAGCTTGGCGAGAAGTTTGATATGTTCCGCGCAGGCACCGAGTACGCCAGGACTTGACGGAGGAAGCACTGGACAGCTTCGGACCTTCGCGCCCCAAGCCCGGTAACCCTATCATGCGTTCGACACCACAGAAACTATCGTTTTGGGGGTCTCCGGTTCAGGAGAGAGCCCTAAACCAAAATTGTCCATACCAGTGAAACCCGAAACCCCACATCCTAACCCTAAGCCAGAACCTTGATCCCTAAAGTTCCCTGGAGAATTCTAGAAGACCTAATGCCTGAAGCCCTCTAAAGGCCGTGCTGAACGTTCGGGCAAAGACGCCGCAAAACATGTTAGAACCCCAATCCCCGCCCTACCACACTCAATTAACGTATATCTTTGATGACCATATTCAAACAAGGAGTGCTCAAACAGGCACAGTAGGTCTCAGAGAGCACAAGTAAGCCCTTAGCCACTTTGAACAACACTAAGCCACTAGGTACATCTTCGAAGACTGGCTCAAGAAGGGCCAAGCGGGCGCTGCCACGACCTCGTCAGACCCATTTGTTTGCCAGTTTAGAGGGTTGACGGCTCAGGGTTTTAGAGTTTAGGGTTTAGGGCTTTAGGGTTAGGCTGTGTTCATAATTAACAACAACTAATCACAAGGTAGTTTAAGGCTTGTGCGTCTTTCGGGTTTGGGCTGAGGGTCTAGATTTTGTCCCGTTCGGTAGCAGGCTGCAGGACACGTGCTGTTGAAGGTTTCGTCTTCTAGGTGCCTGAGTAGTACCCTTTTGCCCTTTGGATGTTGAAGTCACCCTATAAGAACCGACTAGTAGGAAAAAAGGGTACCCTTCTTTTAAAGGGGCTACGGAAAAACCTGGTGGTTCGGTGAGCCAGGGCAGGGTTTCGGGTTGAGGGTTTAAAGATTAGGGTTGAGGTTTAGGGTTTAGGTTTTTGGTTGAGTGTTTAAGGTTGAGGGTTGAGGGTTTAGGGCCGGTTTAGTCAGGCCAGTACAAGAGTAACTGAGTTACTTAGGTGCTCGGCGCAAGAAACTAGGCAAGCTCTTGAACACTTAGGCCAGCATCATCATGACCCAGCCGCGTCGGATCAGCGCGATCGGCGTGGCGGATCGCATCGCCAACGAGATGAACACAGGTGGGGGTTGAAGGTTTGAGGTTTCAGGGTTAGTTCAGCAGTAGCCAGCCAAGGGATGTAAGGTGGATTCCTCAAGCCAGAAATCCATGGTGCAGAAGGTTATAATGGGTTTAGGTTTTCAGGCTGAAGCGGTAGAAGCCCTAAGCTACGGCTTTTGATTTTGAAAGTAAGCCCTGCAGAATTCTTTGCTTTTGAAGGTGAGGTTATGAGCCGTAAGAGAAACCCTGTAAGACTCTGGGCTGTTGAAGATGTGACTAAGCCTTAAGACTAAGCCTTAATTACACCCTGTGAAATTCCCGGCTTTTGAAGGTGAGGATCTCAAAGGTCTGCGGCCCGGCCCGTACTGCAAAAGCTTAACGCGAACCTAGACATGGGAGTTTCCGAAAATAGGGGACCCTAATATAGTACACTAAATAGTAGGATCCTTATTATAAGGACCCCCAAAATAAGGTACCCCTATTCTCGGAAACTCCCATATTTGGCCGTGAATGGGAAACCGAAATGCAGACCCAAGCTCAACTTAACGCCGACCCCGACCCCGAAGCCCGGAGGCTCTGAGAAAAAGATTGGAGTCCTTAATGCGAACCCCGAAGAATTTGAAGAAGGAGGCCGGCGACGGCAAGCCAACAAGCCCGAAAGCCCGCAACCGTCAACAGACGAAGCCCTAAACCCGAACTGTCAACTGCCTACACCCATTCTCCTTGGCCTTAGACCCTAAACCCCTAAACCCTGAACTCTACAGGAGTTCTAGCTGTACCTGCAGGTGGAAAAGAGCCCTTAAAAAAAATCTCTAAGCAGTAGAACCCTCCACCCCGACACCCCTACAGCCCAACACCCCAGCCGAACTTCCTGAAGCCCAATCGCTAATTCCGTAAACCCTAGCCCCTGTGCCCCTTTTGGTTGTCCTTTGGGATCTTTTTTGATTTCCCCTGCTGTTTTGTAGAGAACTCTGATTGCAAAGCGCTTAAAGTACAACTCAGACTTGAACTCTAACGCCCTATCCCCATGTTCCTCAACGAGACCCCAGGAGATCTTTCCACATCCCAACCCCTAAATTTTAAACCCAAAACCCAGAACCTTCCCTAGAGCCCCCCAACTACCCTCTAAAAAGACCCTAAATACCACTATAAAGGACCATAAGGAGTCCATTGAAGGGCCATTTAGGGGTCCTGATTTACCCTAAAAATCAGACGAGGCTTGGGTGACCTGGTGGGCTACTCGATCCGCCTCGAGGCTCGAGATCCTTGCGCGCCGGAAGGAGAACTTTGTAGGGGTTCATTCTAAAAAAAAATCTATCTGGATCTATAAGGGCTCAGGGTGTATCAGAGTTTATGCCGGCGTTGAGGGATCCTTTACGGGTTCCTTTAAGGGTTCCTAAAGGGGCTCTATCAGGGCTTTAGGGTGTAGGGTTTAAGGATCCATGTACCCAAATAGTGTACGCGATGGCCTGAAAGTAGTCCCTATATAGGTACCCTGACCTGAGCCCAAAGTATATGGTATATGTTCTATATGGGACATCACAGACCTCACTATAACTTACACAGGTCTATGACCTAGTCGCAGAGTCGGTCCTTTAACATCCCTTTTTGATTGTTACAATTCTTATAATCCCTGCCCTACATACTTCAAAAGGTCAACCTTTAGTTTCTCTATGAGGCTGGACAACTAAGATCATAAGGACCCTAAGGGGGTTTGGGGGGAGGCGGGTAGGGGGCCTTGATACCTAGAAGTGACTTAAAAGGCTATTTGAGGAAATATTAAATATAGTCCCCTACCCCCGTCCCCCCAACCCACAAAAGGGTCACTATGATAAGATGAACATGTTAAACTTGAGCGGATAAGACCTGAACGTTGCTAGAGGCTAAGCGCTCTGCTCGGACCAAGATCCTGGTCTGCACCACAGGAGCTCAGGGCTTTTGGGTATGTCTTGTTTGTAACATAAACTGCATAGTTCCTCAAATGAGGCTTAAGCCCTAAATAATAAACTCAAGGGTTCAGGGTTTATGCTTAGGGCCCGGAGACCTCAAGTGTCGGGGATGGGTTTTCTGTGGGCTCGTGCAGCAGTAGTACATAGTACATGCCCTAAACCCTAAACCAAGGCAGGCCTACACCATCTCATCCGGGCAATTTCGCCAGAGATATCATCGCCAAGTTGCTTCAGAGTTGATGGGCACCCATCCATATATATATATATATATATATATATATGCTATATACATATATGTACATATACATATATACATATACATATATATATATATATATATATATATATATATATAGATAGATATATATAGATAGATAGTTGAAGGGTTTCTAACCTAAACCACGGGATGCCGTGAGCATTTTAGTTCAATGCCGGTCTTGTTTTTTTGGTGTCGGGAGACGGGTTCGAGCACAGAAGCGGGAAATAGGGTTGATGATATAAATCCTGCATTACCTTAAGGACCCTAACTATGGGAATTATGGTATATTCCTTATTTTGGGTCATGCAGGATTTATATCATCCTAAACCCTAAACCCTAAAAACCGTAAACCCTACAGATCCCTTAAAGGAGCCCCTAAAAGGTACCCTTATGGCTCCCTTTAAAGGAACCCCAGGATTTATATCATCAACCGAATGCTCGGTGACCGAAGGGTCCGGTCCTGAGCCGATGTTCCTTTGGAGTCTCTCTGTTTCCGAAAGTTAGGGGTACCATATTCGGGGGTCCTATAATAAGGATCCTAATACTTAGGGTACTTAGTACTACCTTAAACTACCAAAACCCAAATGTGGAATGTATAGGGACCCTATAAAGAAAGTAGGTTCTGGTAGGTTAGGGTAACTTCGGGGTTCAGGGATTTTAGATTTGACGGGTTACGGTTTAGTGATTTTATACGTACCCCTCCTAAAAAATCATACGTACCGCCCGTCCCAAAAACACAGAGTTCATGCTTCCTATCTCAAATGCTAAACCCAGCGCCGACTGCTTTGAATCGGTAGGAGTTCTGCTCCGACGATTGGAGAATGACGAGCTCCTTCGGAATGTGACCCACGTCATCGTGGACGAGTGATACTAGCCTTATGTTGGGGTTCAGGGGCTTAGGGTTTTAAGGGTTCTAGGGCCTTACGTTTCCTGGTGCTGGGGGGGGCCTACACCCTAAACCCCTAAAACCCTAAACCCTAAACCAGCTTGGAGGGGTCTGGCAGTTACGGCTTTTCCGATCAGTCGGTGTGTGTTGCTGGCGTACCTATAGTCTCCGTTGTGGTTCCTTTTTGGGGTTACCTTATAGGATCCTAATTATATAATTGGTTAAACCAAAAAAAGGAACTACAATGGAAACTATAGGTAGCTAGTGTTTTGATGTTTGAATTTTGGTGGGGTCGTGGGTTTTAGGGGTTGTGTATGACAGTAACTCTTCGTATGGTGCAGAAGCAGGCCCCATGTCATGCGTCTTCAGGGTTTAGTCGGTTTAGGTTCACAGTGTCGGGATGAAGCTGAATAACAAGAGACCGAAATGGCTAGTGGCCCAATGCTGCAGATTTTCAGAATACATGTTCAACCGAGCTTTTCGCCGCTTGAATTCCGCTGTAGCGGCAATGCTGATACACTTGACGCTCGCGGTGGGATTGCTTGGTGCGATGTGACAGGTATGGCGGGAGAAGAGGCATGCCGTAAAGTAGTCCCTATTTCGGCATGTTTGGGGCCAAAGTACACACTACTTGGGTACATGACTCTTAGGGCAGGCAACAGCAGCAATTGAATAATCCAAGGGTAAAGGAGGGACCCTTTATAAGGACCCTTAGGTATATACTCATAGCTCTTATATACCCATTATATAGCCCATTATAGGGTAGGGGTCCCCATTAAGGGTCCTCCTTTTCCGCTGTGATCTAATTGAATGCTTCAACCCACCCCCTCAGACCTCCAGTCCCGAAGCCTGAAGCCCACCAAACCCTAAACTATGGGAATTCTGGTATATTCCCTAAACCCTAAACCCTAAACCCTAAACTGTTATGGGTAATGCAGGATGTATATCATGAACTGTAGGTCCGGTTCATTACAAGCATCTCTCAAAAACCGTCTGGATATTGTAGGGGCCCTAACTAACAACATATTATGATATATCCCAACCTGGACCCCCAAAGTAATGTAGAATAATGGCTGTTTTAGTTTTTAGGTTTTGGGCCATTATTTTACCTACTTTTGAGGGTCTAGGAAAAGCCATATACAGCCAAGAGCGTGCCAGAGAGTCCAGGTCACGAGCGCGACTTGGATACGGACACCTGGCTCACAGAGAAGCGCACCCAAGGGGTCCAGGCGCCGATACAGTAGGCTCTTTGTAGATATTTGGGCCCCATACTTCTACTTGCACGCTTTGGAGTTACCGGGTTTATTGTCCATGGTCCCAACTATAGATCGTGAAGCCTTAGATACCCTCCAAATTTTTGACGGCTTCGGCTGAAAGCTATTGGAGTGGAGGTACTGCGGGCCTTAAACCCGAAAACATAAACCCTTAACCGTAGGAGCCACCCTTATCTGTATATGATACATCCAGGTACTCGGATACTAGGATAACAACCCACAGGCACCCCCAACGCGAGTTGCCCTAAACCCTAAGCCGTAAGACCCGAGTTAGTTCATGAAACCAGACCCCCGGATCTATTACATACACCACCGTAATGAGCGATCGCAAGAACTACAAGTCATCACCACGCACGCAACAAGGTCACTACACGTACTATCCAAAACCCTTACCCCAAAAAGATTCTCCCCAGTACATAAACACACCAAGACCCGAAAAAAAAAGAAAACGATACAAAACCACCCCGAAAGTGAACCCACAGGGTTGAATAAGGATCCGAATATTAAGGCATTGAAGGAAAGAGGTTGATTATATGTACATGGAAGGTCAAGTGCGTTATGGGATCAGGGTCATTCAGCGCTTCTTGTGCATAACCGAAGGTTCGGGGTGGGGGTTTAGGGTTAAGGAGGGGATCTATAACGGTCTGAGGGTTTGGGATCGAAGAAGTAGATCTCAAAACTTACAACTTGTAAGCCCTTAATCCTAAGCCTCTTCTTTTCAGCTTTTCTCGACAAACCGCTTCACAGCACTTCAATAAACAGTTTTGACTTTTCTAATCTCCTCAGTCTGGTGTTCATCATGGCTGACTCAGCAGCCACTTGGGAGTTCAGAATACAGAAGCCAACAAGCAAGCGGACACGGTGTACCGCAGCCTTGACGTCTCAGCCAGAAGCTGTTGACGTCTTGCGTCAGCAACTGTGCAGCAATGACAACGTGAAGTCAACCATGAAAACAGCCTTGGGCACATTTGCAAGCTCAGAACCCTATAAACCCTAAACCCTGAACCCCAAACCCTGCCCCTAAACCCTAAACGCTGCAGCCAGAGACTAGGATGCTGCTCTGTAAGGCCTCAGTGAGCCTCAATTGACGAACCGCAAAAGTTCCTGGGCCCGGTTTAGGGCTTATAAGGTTTATGGTTTAAGGGTTTTTCGAAAAGGAGTGGCTGATGTTACAGGCGTTTGAAAGGTTTCAAACGCCTGTGTTCGCCCAGATACCGCGCGGCCTTGACTGGCAAACCAATGACGCGCTTGAACATGTCAATTTAGAATCCTAGGTTGCTGTCAATTGTCCATTCGGATGTTTACAACCATCTCGCAGAATGCTGGCCTGAGCTGACCGCTGCCCCGAGATGTGAGGTGGCCGGAGGACAGGGCGGTGAAAAAAGCTGCCCAAGCTCTTTACACAGACCTGCAGAGGCGGGAGCAACTCACAAGCATCATTCAAGCTTTCACTTACGGGCGGTGAAAGTCATAGCCGAAGATTGGTTGCGTCGCGTCGTCATGGCACTTGATGAGCACAAAGTCTTGGAGATCGAGGCAAATGCAGGACACAAAACCAAAACCGAAACTTGAACACTGAAACCTAAATTAATCTTAAACTCGAAACCTGAAACCCTATATACCTATTTAAACCTTAAACCCTGAGCGCGAAGCCTGAAAACCTAAACCCGAAACCCCAAACTCGAAACCTGAAACCCTATAAACCGTAAACCCCATACCTAAATCCTAAACCCTCAGCCCCATACCTTGAGCCCGAACACTTCCGAGGACTTCCTTCTGATCGTGCTCCGTGATCTTCTCCCAAAGCGGCCGAATCTCAGGTCAGGGGCCTGAACAGTTTGAACCGGGTTCCTTTAAAGGGCTGTTGTAAAAGGATGTGCATGGGCTACATAATATAGGGGCCTTCATACTTGGAATAGGGTTGTATGTGTGGCTGTTTCATAGGTACTGTATTTATAGGACTGTTCGGCTGCCGCTGGAGTTGTTTAGGGTGTTGAATCTTGGTTGGGTACACAGGCTGCTTAGCTTGCTGCGTTTAAAATTTGCGCTTTGGTGTTCCATGCTTGTGTCGAGCGTTATGGCTACACGTCGGTATCCGTCAGAAGTTTCAGACGATGCGGGGCGACCTGCATTCAAGGGTTGAGGGTTTAGGGTTGAACTTGCAGCTTGTTCTTCTAACCCTCAAACTTTAGAGGCAATCCTGGCTAAAATCTGGGATGGGCTTCGCGTTCAATATGACGGAAAATGGAGATGTACAATCTGGCTCAGGGGCTGGAGTCCAGAGATTATGATAACCGCAAGTAAAGCCCCAACAAGCAAGCGTAGACCTACAACATAGCGAATTGCATGTACACATATACATGACAAACCTGTGGGCAGATAGACTGACAGATGCATACAACCAAAATCCGCCTCACAGGAATTCACTGGGACCCCCAGTTGGTGGTCCATGGGTAGTTACAAGTATTACAAGTGGGGCTTCAAGCAGGAAAATTTTAATTTTATTTTAACCCATATGAGGGACATATAACTTTTAATAGAACCCTACTGGAAAACACAGGCTTGGTTGAGGCACCGGTGCTGTAGAGACGACGTGACGTTGAAATTATGAACCTTAGGCTTCTGCAGGTTGAGGTTTAGGACCAAGTGCTTAGAATTAGGTTTTGCCATATAAGGCTTGGACTTCAGTGCTCAAGACGTCGACATTCCCCAGTCTGGGCCTACCTCGTTGTTTGGTTTAGGCTTGAGGGTTTGGGATTCAGGGTTGTGTTTAGGGTTTAAGGATGAAGAAGCCATGGATCCTAAGCCTCGTCGCCATGTTTGTTGCAAACAGGATCGTTCTGATGTCTGCCACGATCAATGCGCAGATCTTCAAGGACTTTGCTGAAGCTTGTTGAGATCACGGGCTTCGGCTGCATGTGCTGCCAGCATCCATTTCATGGGGTTCGAGCAGCAGCAAGACAGCGACATGCGGGGGACTTGCTAAGGACCATACTTAAAACAACCCTTAACCCCCCAACCGAATGCACGTACTCGGATATGTGCACATGCGTAGTGCTGGCGTGCGACCGGCGCCGCACCAAATTCAGGGAAGCATAGGAAGAGTATATTCGTGTGCAGTAGTCGTCGTCGCTTACCCCGTCGTCTTCATGTTTGTTGTGGTGGTATGCTCGGACGGTGCGCGTGGGTGCCCCGATGAGGGCGCTCTTCCTCAGCATGCTCAGCAGTCCCAGTGCAGGTATCGCATTTCAGCAATTACAAATCAGAATCACCCCCGTCTCAGATCCGCTATGCCGCTTCCACAGTCGTATTATTACACAGCCCCAGAACCTAAGCCCTAAACTCTGAAATCCTAAACCCTAAGCTCCTAAACCCTAAACCATGCTATGCCCAGCTGAGTGCCAGGACTACTTCCCGGGCTCGCAGTCCATCAGCATCCCAGGGCGGACTTTTCCAGTGACCTCCTACTACCTGGAGCATGCTTTGCCGCCCGGCCGGGCTGGGCAGAGGGCTCACGAGTCGGCTCTAGGGTGCTCTGTGTGAGAGTGGGACTTGCTCTCAAAACTTCCCGGACTCAAGTATTCGGGGCATGATGGTGCTCAGACTCTGCGCAGTTCCACGAGCCTTGCCTGCTTTCATTACTTGGCCTCTGCGACGAGCGACAAGTAGAACATCCAGCAGCTGCGAGACAAGTTGAATGCCTTCTCCATCCTTAAGCCTTGAGCACCAAGCCATGCAAACCAGAATACCGACGGCGTTTTGCAGTGCCATCGTCATCCCCTCAACCTGAAGCCCTCAACCGTAACCGTACATCGGTCCAACTCCCATCAGTTTAGGGTGCTAACATCCCGAAGACTGTAGCCTCTCCGCCAAGGATGCACACCAACTTCGTGATTGAGCCAGATTCCGAGTACTGTCGCAAGGACACGACTTGCCGTCTTGTTGGTTACAGCCGCTCAGGAATGTTTATTACAATGACGAGCAAAGCAACGTTGAACACGGGCTTACTAAAGGGGCTTACATAAATACCTATACTGTTCTGGGGGTTCTTGGTTGTAATCCTAGTATGATGGGCCCTAAAACCTTATTCTAACAAGTAACGCCCCTGTGTTACTCAAAGGCAGCGGCCCCAATAAGATCATTGATCCGAAGGCTTTTGGAGGTTGGCTCACATGATTCCCAGAGGGTCCAAGTACTTCCTATAAAATGGGACTCTAGGGTCTTTTTAGGTTTCAAAACCCATAAATAAGGACTACTTGGACCCTTAGGGAATTAAAATAGGGCCCGTTACATATGCTATAGTTATGATAAGGAACCCCCAAACTAGTATAGGTAATTATTTAGGCCTCTATGGGTTTCAATTTCTCACTTGACAGGACGTGGAGCCTCAAATGGCCTACCAGGAGGAGGAGGAGCTGAGGCCATGGAGGGTTCCTTGAAGGGATCTATAAGGGTGCCTCTAAGACTTAGAGACTCTAAGGGATCTATAAGGGTTCCTTTAAGGGATCTATAAGGGTTCCTTTAAGGGATCTATAGGGGTTCCTTTGAGGGGTCGATAAGGGTTCCTTTGAGGGATCTATATGGGCGCGCTGAAGGGATCTATGTGGGTGCCTTTAGAAAAAATCTAGAAGGGTTCCTTTAAGGTCCTTTGCAGCCACAGCCCCCGAAATTTTAGCAAGGAAACAGGCTCCACATTTGGGTCCCTTTTGTTCTCCAGCTCCTATCTACTTCCCGAGACCCTGCCAGAAACCCTCCATCCTGAAGCAGACCAGTCTTGTCGTGATAGGGCTTCCGAAATGACCGTGTCCCCTTACTGAGGGGGATCCTTGTGTGTGAGGCTTGTTTGGGGATTTTCGCTGGGGGGGTCGCTTGTATTCGGAACCCCATATGCAACTCTAACGGGTGTATCTTGAGAAGTTTTTCCAGAGTTGAACATACAGTACAGCTTCCTGAAGTGTTGGATTAATTAAGGGCCTACGGGTCTTGAAACACAGCCCATGTCTACATGGCGTACAACCCCCAGCATCCCTTCTTGCTAACATGAAACTGATTTTCAAGAAAGCATGAAAGAGACCAACATAGCTAGAGCTATCTAGAGTCATTATAGCACTCTAATTTGTAAGAACAGAAGACTAGGACTAGCCTTCGGCACCTCAAGGTGTAAAGGGTCCCAGCTGGATGCCACAAACCCTAATCGTTAAATCTTCTGAAGCTTACCATTAGGGTTTTGGGTTTAGGATTTAGAGTTTAGGGTCTTGCCACAGGCAGGCTTACGAGAAGCCGGAGAATGCCGACCTTGTTGGAACAAAGCTTCCTCGGCATGTGCTACAGCAGCTGCTCGGCTGCAATTTCGGGGCGTCCGCAACACTTAGACATTGGTTCTGGGGTATATCATGCTTAGCCATATTCTGCTTATACGGAGACTGCAAGAGGATTGGAATACGAACATTTCGCCGATGACCCACCTAAAGGGCTCAAACCTACGCCCAGAACCTTGACCCTCAACCCGTCTGCATTGACCCAAGCCCTAAGTTGTCAAAACCCGAAACAAAAGTTTATACCTTTTTCTCCCTGGTTACTTAAAAGCCCATCAACCATAAACCCCCTTCAAAGGCTCCACCGAGTCGATCCAGAGAAGATCAACTTCGAGCTCGTTGCCCAGGTCGTGCGCCACATCCACACGCAGGCTGGATGGTGTTCGGACTTAAGTCTGATAGTCATTGATACGGTTGATGATCAGAATCCTGCATGACCCATTATAAGGAATATACCATAATTCCCATAGTTCAGGGTCCTTGGGGTCATGCAGGATTGTGTCAATCAACAGTAGTACCCCTAAACCCTAAAGCCTAATAGACCCTCTGGCTGTGGTTTCGGGATGGTGTTCAGGCTTCTTTCTCCTTGTCGTTATTGTTGCCCAGAGGGTCCAAGTATTCCTTATTCCAGGACTTTAGTGCCTTTTTAGGCATCAAAAACCATAAAAAATAAGGACTACTTGGACCCTTAGGGTTGGTTGCATAGTTTTGATAGGGCCTTTTTAGGTATCAAAAACCATAAAAAGTAAGGACTACTTGGACCCTTAGGGTTGGTTGAATAGTTTTGAGGTTAGGGGTTGTGTGGGGTCTCCAGGCCTCGGGTGCGTGAAGATTGGGACTACTTGGGCGTCTAGGATGCCCAGTAGTTTAGGGTTTAAGGGTAGGGGTTTAGGGTATGCTAGTTCAGGGTTTAGGGGTTTAAGGGTTTAGGGTCTTGGGTTAAACTAGGATCTCCAGTAGTACCCTTATTCCCTTTTTGTAGTCCTAGGTTCCTTATAAAGATACCCAATACCAAAAAGAGAGGCCTTGTTATTCTTAGGTTACTGGGTATCCTAGGCGTTCACGGGAAGTTGTAAGTAGGGTTGTAAGTCCACGGATCAGCTCAATATCTATAAATAGTTACGCCATTATGCTCTAAGCTATAGTTATCTTGCTTACAATCCCCTAAACTCTAAACCCTAAACCTTAGACTTTATACCTGCGCATGAACCTCCAATCCAAGCACCTGGACCCCAAAAGTATCTAGAATAACAGCATTCTATAGGCTTTGGGCCATTGTTATACCTACTTTGGGGGGGGTCTAGGTAGTTTTAAGAAAGAACTACCCTGAAACCCTAAACCCAAGCCCTAAACCCCAAAACCCAAAACCCTAGTTTTGAGAAAGAACTACCCAGGTAGGGCTTAGCGGTCCAGGGTTGGGGACCAGCTGTTCTCAAAGGGGAAAAGGAGGGGCCCTTAATGGGGACCCCTACCCTATAATGGGCTGTAAGAATGGGTATATAATTGCTATATTAAGGGTATATACCTAGGGGTCCTTATTAAGGTCCCTCCTTTTACCCTTGGAAGTTCGCGTCCAGGCTTGATTCGGGGTTGGGGGTATGTGGTTGTCGCTGTTTTGAGGTCTAAAGGCTAAGGTCCAGTTGAGGCTTCGGGGTTTAAATGAGGGTTGAGGGTTTGGGGTTAAGGGTTGAGGGTTTAAATTAGGGTTGAGGGTTTGGGGTTAAGGGTTGAGGGTTTAAATGAGGGTTGAGGGTTTGGGGTTAAGGGTTGAGGGTTTAAATTAGGGTTGAGGGTTTGGGGTTGAGGGTCTAGGGCTTTTGGCTTAGGGTCAGGGTATAGGGAGTGCCTGGGGCACCCGGTAATAGACATACAAAAGCCTTCCTTCACATCCGCTTGCCTTGAGGTGGATCCTTGCAAAAACGGAAAAGCGCCAGACACCCAGAGGAGACGGGGCCGGTTCTCTGCAAGCGGAGCTTTGGGGTTTGGAGTCAAAACGGTTCAAAGGAGTTGCGGTTAAGTTGGTACATGGGGTCTTGGGCTTAGAGTTTTGCATTTGGAATGAGGAGCCGTATACGGTAGAAGCCAGAAAGTTGGAACACCATTATCCTCATGCCCTTAAGGTAATGTAGAGGGAATCCAAGCACTACTCATCCTAAATCCATGTTCCAACCTTCTGGGGTTCACTATAGGCTTCAGGGTGCTTGCACATGCTACTACGGTTGATGATATAAATCCTGCATGACCCAAAATAAGGAATATACCATAATTCCCATAGTTTAGGGTCCTTAAGGTACTGCAGGATTTATACACCCCAAACCCTAAACCCTAAACCCCCTATAGATCCCTTACAGGAGCCCCTTAAAGGTACCCTTATAGATCCCGTTAAAGGAACCCAGTAGGACACGGGTGGTCTGCTCTGAGCCCGAAAGCCTTGGAGCTGCGCCGCAGCAAGGGGGATGCCGGGCTGATATCAGCCAGGGCTGCCCAAAACCTGCAAGTTCTTAAGCCCTAAACCCTCAAATCCCAAACCTTGAAATCCCAAACTCTCAAATCCTAAACCCTCAAACCCCAAACCCTCAAGTCATAAGCCCTATAAACCCTTTGGGGTTGTTGCCAAGGCCAGGGGCGATCCTGGTCTTCGTTCCGGGGCTCAGCGACGCTTGTCCATTCGGCTCAGGGCAGTTTCGCATAAGGGGGGTAATAGAGGGGCCTTAATGATTAGAATAGGGTTCCTTTAAGGGTTCCTTTTAAAGGGGTCTATAGGGATTTCTGCAAGGGGCATGATGGGGGTGTAGGATAGGGGCCTTTATGATTTCAATAGGGTTCCCGTTAAGGGGTCTATAAGGGTTACTATAAAGGATTTATTATAAGGGTAATATAATATAGGGGCCTGAATGAATGGAATAGGGTTTAGCTATAGCTATGATAAGAAACCCCCAAAATAGTCTAGGTAATTATCCAAGCCCCTATATTGAGGGATTAGGGTCATGGGTTAAGGGTTTGGGATATGCAGGATTTACTGGGGCAAAGCTGGCACGGCAAAGTTTCGCAGAGAGCACTCTAAAGCACCGTTTCCGAATTCCGAAGTTCAAACAAAAATTACGTGCCTGATCACACTGTATTCAGCCAAAGCAACTTTGCTACACTGCTTTTGGCTTACGACAAGACTCATTCAGACTCTGCGTAATAGAAGCATGCGCAAGCTGAAGTCAAAGAAAGACTTGAGTCTAGCAGGACCTGTAATCACGCTCCCATCAATCCTCCGTCCTCTACGTTGCGATACGAAGTGTGTTAAACCCTAAACAAGAAAGCCGGTGCCCTGACTAACTTGAGTACTTGTGTATCGGGTTCCTTCTCATGACACCATAAGGGTGGTTGCCAACATTAGGGTCCCTTTTCGGGTCCTTATTATAATACGGCACCTAATATTTAGGGTACCCAAAAGGGACCATAATTCTGACAACCACCCATAAGTTGAATATCCTAAACCGCTTTTCGAGTCCCGCAGGCCCCTCTGTGGTCACAGCCGCATCTCTAAACTTAAACTAAATCCTAAGCCCTAAACCCTAATCATATCTTTAAACCCTCCAAACCCACAGTTGGAGAATAATTCCTGTTTCATGCAATGTATCAACACCCATCGGTCTCATAGTCTTTTCACGTAATCAGTAGATTTAGATGACCCGAGTACTTTGAGGTTCATGGGCAGTTATAAAAGGAGGGTTATAAGTCCCCCAATATGGGTAATAGCTATAGTTCTCCTATTTATACCCACATTTTTAATTCCCCATGGACCACCACGTTCAACACACGACTCCCACCTTTCCTGATCTGAACCTTCGAGCCGGATAGCTGCTCTGACTTGTATGCGAGGTAAACCCCAAACCCTAAACCCTATAGTCTAATTTTACGAAGCCACTAAAAGGCTCAGAAAGTCCCAACCGGTAAACCCTATGCCATTAAAACCTACCTGCCTCTTCAGGAAATCAAGAAAGCGATGCGATGTTTGGAGGAGGATACGCTTCTGCGAAGTAGTTCTTCTCTGGACGGACAACCCCCAGCCATAAACCCAAACTCTAATGAAGTATAGCAGCCTGAGTACATACATAGGTCATTCCTCATGGGGGGGCCTTCGTCGAACTGCACCATGATATTGACATACCGTAGTACCCCCCGCCCAAACCCTAGTCGAATTATGAAGCCCTAAAGCCCTCGTGAGCCGGACCTTTGCTTTTCGGGGCATTGGGGCTGGCCAGGAGATGTCCGGCAGCAAAGGCAAAGCGAAGGGCAAAGACTCCTTCGAGAAAGGAGGCTGGCGGGCTCAGTAAGCTTCATGTGTTAGAATGAGTTTTGGGTGTATTCTTGTATAACGGTATTTTAATGTTATGCTAAGGAACCCTAAGGTAACAAGATAGGTATCAGATAGGTAGTGATTGAGGCATTTATAGTACTTGGAGGGTCATGGGACTTAGCAAGTAAGGTGGTAAGTACTATGGCTGGATCTATATGTGATTGTAAGTATAGATAATTTAATCCACCCCAGCTTCTCAGTCCCATGATCCTTTAAGTAGACTTTAGGGTGTTGGGTTTAACTGCTTCATTTAGGGGCGACTGGCTAGAAGTAGTGTATGGACTTATGCGATGCGTAGCCCTCCGGCAACCCCGCAAAATACTCGGTGCTCGGGGAAAGCGTCAGTTGGCTTTAAGGGTGCTTCGGGTCGCTTGCTCTTGCATAATACAGACCCAGAGAGCCCAATACCCTTAATTAAGGCATATTGCTTAAATTACAGCTGCCTGAATCGTATGATTTAAAGTATATTCCTTAATTAAGGGGTATTGAGCTCTCTGGGGAGGTGTCGAAATATTGCCAATACAAGTTGGGGGCTCCTTATTACAAGTATAGTATCCTGCATCCCCAAACCCGACTCCAAACAAAAGGCCCCTGCATTATGCAGCTGTTGGGGTTCAGAACCTGGGCTGGGGGTGTTGAGGGGTTAGGGTGTAGGGTTTAAAGCATTTTGGATTTAGGGACTAGCGTGTAGGATAAGCACCCAAAACCTACTGAACCCTAAATCCTAAACCTACACCCTAAAGACCTGTGTGTCCAAACCATTCACATCACAGCTCGAGAAGGATTCGGAGTTTTCAGCTTGAAGAATCCGAAGTCCTACTAGGTGACAGTTTCTTCTTTTTCGTAAAAACATATATGGGTAGTTGTCAAAATTAGGGTCCCTTCTTGGGTCCCGATTAAAAATACGGCACCTAATATTTAGGGTACCCAAAAACGGACCATGATTTTGACAACTACTCACATATATATATATATATATATATATATATATATGGGTATATATATATATATATATATTATGTATACATAAGCATATTTCAAGCCTCAACTCCCCATGCCCAGGCGACCGGGGTAAGGGCAAAGCTACCGGACCATCTGTCACCAGAGCAACTTGGCTGACAGTAGCATGAGTGCCTATCCAGCTCGGAACGAAGACTGCTTAGAGTTTCAGGGGCCCCATATGGGAGTTCCGAAAATCGGGGACCTTAGTATAGCACCCTAAATAGTAGGATCCTTGTTATAAGGACCCCAAAATAAGGTACTCCTATTTTCGGAAACTACCATATAGATTTTAGAGAATCAGAATAGAACGTATGTCCAGGGATTCCGGAGCAGGAGGTGTTCTGGCCTAGGGTCTCGTGGAGTTTAGGGTATAGGGTTTAGGATTTTGCAATTCCCGCGGGGTTTCGAGGTGGAGACAGCAGGCGTATTGTTTTAGGGTTGGTGCGTGTCAGTGCCGGTTGCTCTGCGTGTATCGGAGTATCGGCATTCGCTAGACCGAAGAACCCAGAGGGTCCACATATACTACACTATACTACCATTATGGAATTAATTAGGCCCCAAAAGACTTTCCTTCCTAATGGTGTTGGGGGACCTACTTCCACAATCGTTCGGTTGATGATATAAATCCTGCATGACCCCAAGGGCCTTAACTGTGGGAATTATAGTATATTCCTGGGTAATGCAGGATTTATATCATCAACCGTAGTATTTGCGGACGCGCTCTGTATTTGTGGACCCTCTTCGCCAGCATCCTGCCCAGTCGCTCTTCTGCGGTTCGGGCTTGAGGCTTGCAGGCCAGCCGTCTACGCGATGGGTCTACATGGGTGGTTGTCAAAATTAGGGTCCCTTTTTGGGTCCTTAGATATTAGACGGCACCTAATATTTAGGGTACCCAAGTAGGGACCATAATTTTGACCCGCATAACCCTACTTAAACAGACCCTAAAGCTTTACCGCAGACAGGGCTGAGCGACTTCAATGATAGCAGCACCGAGTGGGGCAATGAAGCTTGCAAGTACTCGGATGTCTCCTCAGAAACTCCCAGAAAGCACAACTAGCACCCAATACCCACGCCCGCATGCCAGGACGGCCTTTGGTTGCTACCTCTGCACTCGATGACCCTTGAGCGGTTCAGGGTTTAGGCTTGAGAGTTTCGGGTTTAGGGTTGAAAGTTTAGGGTTCAGCGTTTGCCTTAACCGACCAGAACCTACTTCTTGGTAGGGTCCCTATAAATTCCATAGTAGGGTTTCTAATCAGAGCCGACAGGAAAGTAGGTGTTGGTAGGTTATGGTAGGGATTAAGCTGACTAGGTTTAGGATGTGGGGGTTCAGGGCCTAGGGTGCAGGGTTTTTTGTTGTTCAGGGTTGAGGGGTTGATGGGTGTTTTAGGTTCAGGGGTAAGGTTCAGAGTTTAGGTGACCATGTTTCGGCCTTTGGTGTTTAGGATTTAGGGTTCAATTGTAGTTGGCAAGGTCTTGAGTCATGAACCATGTGTGATGATGATGCTCATGGCAACATCCATAGCAAGAAGACTCTGGTGATTTAGTTCGATCATTTCTAGAATTGTCTATTCAAAACAGTGGGAGCAGGACGAGTGATACTAGCAGGAAGGCGAGGAGGAGAAGGGGCGAGGAGGAGGAGGAGGAGGAGGAAGAGGAGGAGGAGGAGGAGGAGGAGGATTAGCCGTCGTCGTGGTAGTCGTGGTCGTGGTGATCGTCGTAGTCGTCGCCGTCATGCTGGCAGATTTTACGTTAGAATCACGACGAACATAGAACGAATTGCCGCCCTCGCAGTTCTGGTGCTATTTTATGGAAGCAGCCCCACGAGCAGGGAGATAGACTTGTAATTGTAAAGTCCGTATCTTCAGGCATTGGTGCAGCTTCATTGGGATTGTTATGTGGGTGGTTGTCAAAATTATGGCCCCTTTTTAGGAACCCTAAATATTAGATGCCGTACTATAATGGGCACCCAAACAGGGACCATAAGTTTGACAACCATTCATGTAGCCTTGTAGGAGCGTATCATGCATTCCCAGAATGTTGCCTCGGCAAGTCCTCTCCGGCATGTAAGCAGCTTTGGGATTGGGCTTGGGCTTGTGCAATTGTATGGCCCGTTTACACTGTTTACACGTTTCATGAGACCCCAACTGACCTGTTCCGATCTTTAATTCTTGGGCCCCAGCTTCTCCAAACGTGGAGCTTTACCAAAGCGGGTGGCAGTCGGCAACAAGACGAGTTGCACTCGAGGAGACTGAGCCTTGAAACACAGAACCTGCATCCCGAAACCGCAAGCCCTATCCCTGAAACCCCCGAATCCGAAACCATTCTGAACCACTAAACCCCTTAATTAAGCTGGGTGCTTAGTTCTGTAGGACATAGTCTGATACTGCATCTTGGCCCAGCAAGGCCCTATAAGTCAAGAACAGCAACAAACATATCAACCGCCTACAGTTTGAGCTACCGTAACTGCAGGAACCTATTGAAACCTCGTATAGACTGCATGGGTAGAAATCCCATACACCCGTGCTCAACCGTGCACATGCGTGAAACAACCCGCAGAAACCCCTTGAATAGCCTGAAATCCAAATCCCATCAGCCTCCCATAAGTTTGCGTTCTTCTGGTTGGCTCTTAGGACTTTAACTTTTTGGGTCTCTAAATGAATCATAATAAGGAGGCCAGAAGTTTAACTTTTTGGAGGGGTTCAGAAGTCAGCCAAGATAAATGCCTTGTAAAAACCACAAAAAACATTTCGAATGCCTAAGATGCAGAAGCCAGAAGCAAAACAAGCTGTCAACACCTTTGTCAAGCCTAGGATCCTAAGCCCCAAAAGCGAATCCCGGGTGTAGGGTTTAGGGGTGTAGACCCGACAAAGCCTAAACCCCGAAACCGCAGGGTTTACGGCTTAAGTTCAGAGAAGCAGAGAGACTCCAATACCCCTTAAATTGAGGAATATGCCCTAGATTAGAGCAGGATCCCTCATATGATTTACGGCATATTCCTTAATATTAGTTAAGGGATATTGGAGTCTCTGGGAACAGAAAAGCCCAAAGGGCACTAGGTACTATTATGGGGGATACTTCCCAAATCATAATTAGTAGTAATTGCTACTATAGAGACCCTACATTCTACTATATTGGGTACTTTGGACCCTTCGGGGAAAAGCCCTACACCCTAAACCCCAAACCCCTAAACCCCACACACCCTAAACCGCGGTTCAGAGAAGTCCCAGGATTTCTGTGGCGGACCAGCGTTTGGTTTTCAAGCGCCCGCCCAGCGGAGCTCGGAAGGCAGAGCTCAAGCCGTCAAGCGGGCGAAAGGCTGTTTAGGATTCAGGGTGTAGGGTTTGGATGTTGGGCTTCTTTAAGGCTTTCTGAATGAGTTCGATAATAGCTTTGGGCCTAGGGGCATCAGGCTAGAGATTTTAATGGGTAAGGCTTTAGGGTTGGGGGATCGTTTTTGTAGGAGGGTTTCGTTCGAACCAAGGGATTTCTGCGTTTCGGCAGGGTTTGCAAAGGTTCAATCGAAACTTGCAGCATCTATTTCGCTGTTGCAGTAAGTAGTGCTCTGTGTTTGAGGATGATACCTTGAATCCTGTGCCCAGCATGTTGGTTTTTCAACATCCTCAGAACCCTAAACGGCACTAAAGCCTGGATTCGGAAACCTCCAACCTCGAGCGAACTGGCGAGAACGAGTGGGTGGGACCCACGATCGGCCCAAGAGAGCACTGCAGCCCAGTAAACCCTTCCTAACGTGAGGGTTTAGGGCTGTACTTGGAGGATCATGGGACTTAGTAAGTAAGCTTAGAAGTACCTTAATTGGGGTTATAAGTATGGTTACCCTAATAATAGCCCTAGTTACCCTAGTTACTAAGTCCCATGATCCTTTGAGTAATGTGAGGGTTTGGGGCTGTAGGGTTTTGGGGGTTAAGGGTTAAAGGGGTTCCTTTACGAGTTCCTATAAGGCTTCCTTTAAAGGCTACCTAGCTATTAGTTGAATGCATGTCGGCCAGGTGGTCATCACAACGAACATTGCAGAGACATCCATTACCATCGATGACGTGGAGTACGCAGCTTCGCCATAAGCAGTTCGATTCTCTTCCCTGCTCTAAAACAGTGGTTTCACCTCGAGACGTAAACTCTTGCTTGTCAGCTAGAGCCAAAACCCTGAGCGAATTTTGTCGATGGTCGACTAAGAAAGTCTCAACGCCAAACCTGCACCCGTGTCGCGCCTGCTGCCAGTAAGAAACCCCGGGCCTATAACCCCAAAGCAGTCGGATTCATATAAGGAACCCTAGTAAAGGCCCAAAGTTTCTTAATCAGGTTCCTACACTATCCCTCAAATGTAGCCCTTCGGCAGGCCCTAAATCCTGCAAGTTCTCGCTGGGCCGTAGCTTCACTTGACAAGCCCTGGGTTAGATACTAAAGGATTGTACTGTATACTATACCCCCCAAACCTTATGCTAATTATCACACTTCTGTAGTATTGTTTGTAGTAACCGGCCATACTTTTTTCAGCGCTTCGACAGGGATGGCTTAGGGTCGGGAGAAGCTTGTGCCGTCGTAAACTCGGCCCCGAGGTACAGCTCAAGGGGACAGTGCAAACATGAACGTTGCTTGACTTCCGTCACATAGAACCCTCCTTCAAATCATCTCCGAACTATGTACTTGGATAAACCCTAAACCCTAAACCCTAATCAGAGGTCATAATCTGCTCTCTTCGAGAGGTACAGGTAGGCCACCTAGAGCCTAGAGGCCGAGAGCTCGAACCCATGACTGAACAGCGTCCAGCTATAGGGAGCTCCAGAAAGTTGGAATATGGTTTCATGGTAGGAGACTCTATAATTTACCATAGAAGGGTTAGGATAATCATATTCCAACTTTCTGGCTTCTACCTTATAACTAAGATTGTAAGTAAGGTAGCTATATAGTTTTAGGTATAAGCATCCCCAATTCGATGCTGTCTCCTGAATGAATGGGCCAGTGTTATGGTGTTTGGGGGTTGGGGATTTTGTGTCCAGGTGAGGGTTTGGTTAGGCTTCCGCGACTGCTTCACTGTATTCTTGTTAGGGGCCTTAGTTTGAGATACCAAACGATCATTTTTTGTGACTTCGTTCGACATTTTCTAAGGAAGTTCAATTTGAATAGTGAGTAGTTAACTTCAGTGCATTCACACGCACCCGTTCTTGTTTTAGCTTGTATCAGGGCAACAAGGAGAATTCTACACCCAGCAGAGGTCGTCGACTGTGGTCGGCACAAGCAGCTTGGCTTGCATACTTCAGAGCCTTCGGTTGTCGAAATGCAGTTCGTGGAGGTTGTGTGCATTCGTGCGACGTGGCTCTTGTTAACAACGTGCAGAGGGTTGTGGCTTTGATAATGCTGACATGCACACCTTAAACCCTAATCCCTAAACCGTAATCCCTGAACCCTACGATATCCCTAAACCCTAATCCCTGAACCCTAAACCCTACAATATCTAAACCCTAATCCCTGAATCCTAAACCCTACGATATCCCTAAACCCGAATCCCTGAACCCTAAACCCTAATCCCTGAACCCTACTTCTAAACCCTACGATATACCTAAACCCCCTCAAGCCCTAACCACGCATCAAACAAGTCAAAGACTCTAAACCCTAAACCCTAAATGGTAAACAGACTTGGCGGCCCGGGCCCCGACTGCGTAGCACGAAATGACTGTTTAGGTATTTAAAGGTCCGCATCTTTGATAATTCCTCACCATACTGCTGATGGACAAAATCCTGCATGACCCTAAGGACTCTAGACTATGGGAACTACGGTATATTCCTGATAATGGGTAATGCAGGAGTTTGTCCATCAACAGTAGAGGCATGAAGAGTCAATCATGCCTTTAAAGGGGCCCTTGGTACGAATATGCTGCAATGACTCAAATCATTAAGGCCGCTCATTGACGATCCTACGGTATACGGTGAGCCATATAACATAGTCTGCGAAGCCTTGACACCTCAATGTAGAATCTAGAATCGCCCTAAACCCTAAGACCCTAAACCCCTAAACCCTAAAGAAGCCAGCACGGAGAGCATTCGGAGCCTCCCGGAGACTTCGCCGCCCTTTGGCTGAAAGAGTCCTTCCTTGAGGAAGCCGACACCCTGATGGCTTTACGGCGTAGGGGTTTACTTACCGTTGGTTAGTAGGGAATGGAGGAATGGGGTACAATTATATCTACTATTACGTACTACCAGTCTTACATTTGCTACTAACCAAAGGTAAGTTTAGGGTTTATGTAGGGTGCCGGAAGACCTTAATCATGGGAGGTCGAAGCCTCCTAAACCGAAGCTCTAAAACCCTCTGCCCTGAAACCCCTGCCCTGAAACCCTTAACCCAGAGAGCCCAATACCCCTTAATTAAGAAATATACCCTAAATTATAAGGGGCTACAAAATATGAGTTAAGCTTTCTTCCTTTCTTAAGGGGTATTGGGCTCTCTGGGAACTGCCAGCTCTAGGGCGTGAGATCTTTTTCCCTGAAGCCCTACCTTGTGGTTGCCACGAGCTGCACTGCATCTCCCAACTTTCGGAATCCCAGGTCTGGGGTTTAGGTTTATGCATGGGTTGAGGAATTTGGGTGGTTGTCACTATTAGGGTCCCTTTTTGGGTCATTATTATAGTACGGCACCTAATATTTGGGGTACCCAGATCTAATTTTGACAACTACCCATTTAGGAGTTGGGCAAACATCTCGAGGCAAACCAAGTACGACCCCCAGAATCGCATCTCGATGCTCGTCGACTGCGTGGAGACGAAGGCCAGCTGGGGCTGGGTTAAGGCGAGGCATGGTCTAGGGTTTGGGGTTTTGGGGTTAGGGTTTGGGGTGTTGGGGTTTGGTTTAGGGTTTAGGGCTTTGGGGTGTTGTTTAGGGTTTAGGGTGTGGGGGGTTTAGTTTAGGGATTAGTGGTTTTGGATTAGGGTTTAGGGTTTTGGAGTTTTGAGTTAGGACCTAGGGTGGGGGTTTAGCTGAGGGTTTTGGGGTTTTGGATGAGGGTTTGGGGTTTGGGTTTGGGAGTTTAGTTTAGGGTTTGGGGGTTTGTTTAAAGTTTGGGGTTTAGGGTTTTGGGGTCTTGGATTAGGGTCTAGGGTGGAGGCTTTTCGAGTTTAGGTTAGGCTTTTGGGGTTTGGAGCTTAGGTGACAAAGGTGTCGGAAATCAAGATGATGGACAGTACGTACTCTGAATTAAACAAAGCCCAAACTTGGGTACAGCTACCTGGCGCAACCCAAAGCTTAAACCGTGTCTGGGAGGGAGACCAGATACAAAAGCTGGGTTCTTGCTACAGCCAAAAAATATGGTTTCTTCCTTGTGGGAACTTACTCTGGATGCCTTAACAAGGGGGAGCTCCGAAGCTGCTCATTTCCCGTCAGAGCGGGCTGGTGGTCCCTTGAGAAGGCCCTGCAGATGCAACTGCGTGCCATTGAGGAGGAGGAGGTGTCGGGCTGGACCTCGCCGGAAGTTGGGAGCTCAGAGCCTCCGCCGAAGGAGTCCGGCGGATGAAAGAGCTTCCCAATTAAAGAGCAGCAATCAGGCCCCAAGCGCCAAAGCCCTTTCAGAAGAGCTTGGGAAAGAAAGCGAGCAGGAAAAAGTCATTGCAAACAGCGTTATTCGTTGGGAGACCCCTAAACTGCAACCCAGCTTGGTCTTCATGTCCACCCAAAGCCCTAAACCCGGTGTTCTTGGTTTCCAGCACGAAGAAGCGATGGAGCTACGGTTCTTTTCGACTTGGTGTTGATGCCAAAGCTCAAGCCCTAAACCTAGGTTCAACCCGATGTAATTACGGTTGAGGCGTTTGGGCTGTTGGGTTTACAAATTAGGCTTCGATGCAGGGACGTCTGTTCGGAGTGTCACCGAACATTCGCTTCACAGCCAAAGCTGCAACGAGACGATTTGAAGCCATGTCAGTTGCTTCAGACAGCCCCATGAAGTTATTGTTAGCCATTCAAACTCAAAGTGAGCCATATAGCGGCCTAAATGATTACCAGTACTATTTTGCTGGCTCCTTACTGAAATGATGGTATAATAAGCCCCGAACGAAACCCTATTCTAATTGTAAAAGCCCGTCAGTCACCTGCTGGTTCCAACAGTGATCGGCAGAACCACATGCGGTTCGTCCTTCAGGTGATGTCGCTGCCTTGGTTCCTGTTCAGGTCCCCAACATAGTACGGCAGCCTGAAAAAACAGGCTTGCCCTAAATCCTAAAACCACGACCTTAAAGTGCAGAAAGCCTCAGCCTCTATATTATATTATTTATTTTATATCATGGCGCTTATACCTTTCTATTATGTATGATGTTTATAATAATATAAGGTCCCAGGTCTATAAATACGCTTCAAGCCTGTGAAAAAGGTCCTCAAGCCGATGCACCCATAGCCACCGGCATTGCCAACATATCCCCTACCCTAACCCGGAATAACCTATCTTTTTAAGGTTTTATATAAGGAAGCCATAATAGGGAACCCTAAAAAGATAGGTTCTTCAGGGTCTAGGTAAACCCTAAACCCTGAATCGTGTCAAGGTCTCACCTAACCAAAGTACCACAGCTTCGCTGGCTTGACCGACAGCAGTCCCCTATTGCAGATAGTCTCCCTTTGTAGTCATGGAGTCCTTCATGTTCTCAGTAAACTGTAACAGACCCTCAGGACTCTAATCTACATTGCTGGGGCCGTTATATAAGACAAGCCCAAGATTTCGAACGTTCAGCCAGGGTCATGGCAAGTGCACGTTTGTATCGAGTGAAGTACATGAGTATGAGTTGTCATGAGAGCTGGAATATCTGGCCTCTTACACTTTGAAGCTTGTCCGGCACACCTTCAACAGACTTCAGTCACAATTGGACTTGAACCTAAAATGGGAGTTTCAGAAAATTAGGGGTACCTTATTTTGTGGTCCTTAAAAGCAGGATCCCATTAAGGTACCATATTAGGGTCCCCTATTTTCGGAAACTCCCAAATGCTGAACCCGGTGAAAGGCAAACGCGAAGCAGCGACGCGGCCGAGCAGGTGTGACCCCTAGACTGCGGGGTTGCGGGCCTTAGGGTTTAGGGTTTCGATATCGTTTTGGGGTTTAGGGGTTTAGGAGTTTAGGGTTTAGGGGTATAGGATAGGACTTGTACTCTTCCTGTCCTACTTGCTGTCCTCCTTAAACCTCATGCCCCGTGCCTAAATTTAAACACACACCCCTTACGAGCAGAAATGCATCATCTACCCCTCAGATTCCACGGTTGGCTGGAGATGCCCCGATATTCGCATCTTCTTCTACGTCGCCATATATACATATATATATATATATATGTATGTATAATTATAGTATATTGTATTATATACTTTTGTTTTCTCTGCATCACATTTCTCATACAGTTATCGGCCCAACGACAGAAAGTCCAGCAGAATCCCCAGGCCCTGCTTGTAGGTGTTAAGGTTGCGAAATGACAACTTCACGGGGTTTAGGGGTTAGGGGTTTAGGGGTTCAGGGGTTTAGGGTTTAGGGTGGCGAATCTGGTTGATTTCTCTTGTTCTTGTTGGCATTTGCACCAATGTCATCGTCACAATCTCTGCCTTCTTTGTGCTTGCTACGTCACCAAATGTCCAAGCTCGTAGCCGCTGCAGCTTCAGGCTCAGACCACAAGCAGTCCCAAGACTCGTTTAGGGTTTAGGGCCTTAGGGTTTATAGGGTCTATAGGATTTATAGGGTTTAGGGTTTAGGGTCTTTAGCTTTGGACCCTTCAAAATCGATTTACACCCCAAACCTCAAAGCTCCAAAGTGCGAAGCTCCCCAAACCCTTTCGTGAGCCCTCTAGAAAGCCTTCGAAGAAGGACTTCGATCTACCGTGATCCGATAAGATGATTAGGGGTTTGAAAGAAATAATGATCTGCTCTCTAGTGTGGCCGGCGTCGTTTCTGTTTTATCAGAGTATACTCTACCCCTAAAGTCCGGTCCTGTTCTCATTGGGACCCGCTCATGGTACCTTCTGCGGACCCCAGACCCTAAACCCCCTAAACTCTGAACCCACATACATCGAAGGTCTACCTTTCAATTCTCAGGAAGTATCAAAGGAACTTGTGAGATGGAACCCTAGCAGGAATGTAGGATTTCGACAGGATTTGGAGACATAAGTTTGTCATTTGGGCGCTCCGATCTTTGTTTGGCATGCAATATGACGATCGCGGTGACAGTGGGACTGCTCAGTGGCAGGACAGTTGCCCTGACCGCAGGCTTGGACGAGGAGATATCCGCTTTTAGACATCGGGCACAGACAGCGCTCGGAGTCGGAAGAAGCAGACTGCTAGACTCGTCTGGCAGCCTGTTGGATGGATATAAAACAATCAGTACTGCGAATGTGCAGAACGGTGACTCACTCACTTTGCACAGAAGTAGAGTTCAAATCTGCAGCACTGACAACGCGTTTGCTGCCATTCTTGGGGATGGATCTGTCGTGACATGGGGGACTGCCGATGAAAGTGCTCTGCTGTGCCAGCTCAATAATGTGCACAAAATCCTTGCCAATCGCCGCGCTTTCGCTGCCATTCTTGCTGATGGATCTGTCGCGACGTGGGGTAGTGCTCACTGTGGGGGTGACAGCAGTGTTGTGCAGGATCAATTGAAGAATGTGCAGCAGATGCAAGCCTCTCACAATGCGTTTGCTGCCATTCTTGCCGATGGATCTGTCGTAACTTGGGGTCATGATGGCTTTGGAGGTGACAGTAGCGCTGTTCAGGATCAGCTAAAAAACGTGCAGCAGATCCAAGCCTCCGCGAATGCATTTGCCGCTATTCTTGTTGATGGATCTGTCGTGACTTGGGGTCAGGCTAGCTTTGGTGGTGACTGCAGTGCTGTTCAGGATCAGCTGAGGAATGTGCAGCAGGTCCAAGCTAACGCAAATGCATTTGCTGCCATTCTTGTTGATGGATCTGTTGTGAGTTGGGGACAGGCTGGCGTTGGCGGCGACAGTAGTGCTGTTCATGATCAACTGAAGACTGTGCAGCAGATCCAGGCGTCGCTTTTTGCCTTTGCTGCCGTTCTTGGCGATGGAGCTGTCCTGGCATGGGGTGATCGTGACCTGGGTGGTGATAGCAGGCCGGTACAGCATCAGCTGAAGAATGTGCGGCAGCTCCAGGCTTCCTCTTCCGCCTTTGCTGCCATTCTAGCCGATGGCTCCGTCGTGACCTGGGGGGAGGCAGACAATGGAGGTGACAGCTCTCACGTACAGGATCAACTGAAGAGCGTGCACCACATCGTGGCCTCCAGTGGTGCTTTTGCTGCCATTCTTGACGATGGCTCTGTCGTTACTTGGGGTGATGCTTTTTCCGGTGGTGACAGCAGTGCAGTTCATGATCAGCTGAAGAACGTGCAGCAGGTGCAAGCCTCTCAAAACGCGTTTGCTGCTATCCTGGCCGATGGATCTGTCGTGACCTGGGGCAGAGATTGCTATGGTGGTGACAGCACTGATGTGCAGCGTCAGTTGAGGAACGTGCAGCAGATCCAAGCCTCTCGAAAGGCATTTGCTGCAATTCTTGCCGACGGATCCATCGTGACCTGGGGTTCTGCCGTGCCTGTTGGAGAGATCATTTTATTGCAGGATCAGTAGCTGACAGGCTAGCAGATTCCTGCTCCTTCAGCCTCGCGCAACTTGCTGGGACCCGAACCACGCACGAAGAGAGCCATAGTGGAGCGCACATGACCGTGATGTACAGGACACATAATATGCGTAGGCATACATAGGTACATACAGACACACATACATACGTAACTGCGCACATACATATGTATATATATATATATATATATATATGTGTGTGTGTGTAGTTTTCTATGAATATACTTACATTTGTATGTACATATGTATATATATATATATATATATATATATGCACACATCCACATACAGTTCATGTCTAGCTTTTTAGCCACAGTTTGCACTGATTCTTTTTTAGATATGTTAACATCTAGTAAGTGCGTGATTCAGGGTTACCTCTCAGAGCAGTGTAGGCTCGCATCGAAGCCCCACCTATGCCACTTCTATAGATCCTGCGAGGATGCTTCCGTGCCTGGAACTATAGTCCCCTTAGAAATTATTTTTGTTTTTGCTCATATAAAACCCAAGAGAATATTACACACATTATTTTCACTGTGGTTCTAAGGGGGTGGTATGGGGAATGCCGTAGCTGGGCTTCAGGGGCTTGGGAGATCCGGGGAAACAACACTCTAAGGGACCTCAGAAAGCACATAAGCATAAGCATTTTATGGGGATATCCCTACCTTATTGGGCTTGATTATAAGGGGGTTTATTTGGGATATCCGTATCCTCATTTTTGCTTATGTGCTTTTTTGACACTCTCCCCGAAGCCCTAGCGGGTTTTGCAGGGTTGTGGTGGGAGGTTGGGAGGTTTGCTCTGAGTTAGGTACTGCTCCCATACAGTAAGAGTCTTTAATAGGGCTACTATTGATTAGCGTCCTAATACATATATCTGTATGACGAATATTATTCAACTATTACTGAGTGTGGGCCGTACCCAAGCTCTGAGTTACACCCACATGGGGCTCTTGTTGATGAGGGGGTGACGGTGATGGCTGCACGCACGTTTGACTCAGAGCCCCAAGCATACGAAGTTCCGTACGACCCGAATTTGAGGATCGATGCCGAAAACATGTAGTCCTACATCTAAACCTTTAAACCCTGAACATTGGGATACCTTCGCATGTGGGGCTGTCGTTAGGAGCGCGCGCCTGTCTAGAACCATATCCAACTGATTATCCTAACCCTGAGCCCTCGACTCAGAATCCCCGCTATTGAAGCCGTATTCTGCTTTGTTCTTTCTCTCTCTCCGCTCCCTCTCTCTCTAAACATGTCTGCATGTACGTCCCGAGCCCGTGATGCTTGAGTGTCTTGAGAACAGCAACACAGCCCTGCAAAAACCGGGCATAAATCCCTAAACTCCCGAGTGCACCTTGACTGGCAAACCCCCAGTTCCCGAACCCTAAACCCTAAACCCTAAACCGTGTCAGAGTCCCAAAATTCCACAGTTTCTGGGAGCGGAGCCGGGTTGTTCATGAAGCTCCGATGCGCAACCCGCAAACAGGCCGTGTGAAGCCTGGAGTGTGCTACCACATGCTGTCATCCCTGGCATGATTGCGTGCAGCCTCATGGGCCTTAGTAAATATAAGGCTATAAGCAAGGTTGTGATTCGGATGACCCTACTTAAATTTAGGGCACATAGCCCCAAACACAACCCAACTTACTGAGTCCCCTGAGCCCTGATGTGGGTGTAGCTTGAGATGTACTTAGGCTGGGGGAAGGCCGGGTTGGAAATGAGGTCTTGGATCCTAAACCCTAAACCCTCAGCGATGCAAGCGTCCTAACTCCTTTTTCCGAGATTCAGGCTGATTCAGTTTTTTTATCGCTTACTTTGGTGGGTGCACATAAAGCCTACCATGAAATCGTGACGTGGATATGAAGTGTACATGTCATCAACCCCAGTAGGATTCTGGTTACATGACCCAGAGGGCCCAATTTCCCAAATAGTCGAATAGAAGGGCATGAGGTCCCAAGTACTTTACTTTGAATGGTATAGTCGGAAGCTTACTAGTTGAGGTAATCTAAGGGCGCCAACCAGCCCTAAACTCCAAAATCTCGAATCCCTTGTCTCAACCCGGAATCTCAGACCCTTGGGCAAATGTCAGACGTAGACCTTGCAGATGGAACCCTGAATCCAGACTCCTAGCTCTCGATCCTGGGTCTTGAGCCCTACAACGCTTGGAACCCTTGATGGGTTTGGGTCTAGGGTTTAGTGGTTACGGTTTAGGGTCTAGGGTTTAGGGTGCTAGGGTTTGGGTCTCGGGTTTAGGGTGTGAGGGTTTGGGTCTAGGGTTTGGGGTGTTAGGGTTTAGGGTGTAAGGGTTTGGGTCCAGGGTTTAGTGGTTAGGGTTTAGGGTTAGGGTTTAGTGGTTAGGGTTTAGGTTTAGGGTTAGGGTGTTATAGGGTTCGGGTCTAGGGTTTAGGGTGTTAGGGTTTGGGTCCGAGGGTGTTAGGGTTTGGGTCTAGGGTTTAGGGGGTGAGGTTTTGGGTCTAGGTCTTTGTGTTTAGGGTCTAGGGTTTAGGGTTCAGGATACTAAAGCCTTAAAACACCTTGAGTCCTAAACCCGCATGCCGTAAGCTTTTCCGCGCATGAGTTTTAGCGTAGTTGGGGGTATATGTATGTATACGTATAGTTGCCTGAATGATGACCCTAAAGTACTAACTCGCATAATCCTTCAAACCTGAAACCCCTAAAGATTTCTTAAAGAACCCTTTCAGGAATCAAGGAACCCTTGTTACTAGGTCCCATGATCCTTCAGAACCTTTTCTTTGTAAGGAGCCCTAGTCACTAAGTCTAATGATCCTATAGAGCCCGTTTAAGGAAGCTTATAGAGTTTCTCAGTCCCATGGTCCTTGAAACTTTAAAGCCTTAGAGATCCTTGATAGAACCCCTTTTAAGAAACCCTATAGTTACTAAGTCCCATGATCCTTCAAGCACAGCTGCCTAATTATGAGCTACTAAACCCCATGTTCCTTCAATCCGGACCTTGTTTCAACGGAACCATTTAGAGTTTCCAACTCCCATGGTCCTTTTAGCCAGGAACGTTCGAAAATGGAGGCGCCTAGAGGACTTCGAACGACCGGAGATGCTAAGGTGGGCACTCAGGGCGTGGCTTGGTTCGGTTTAGGGTTTAGGATACAGGGTTTAGTGTTTAGGATATGGGTTTAGGGTTCAGCGTCCAGGGTTTGGGGTGTATCCTGTCAACTTGGGGGTTAATGGGGAATTGAGGGTTTAGTTAGGGTTTAGGGTTTTGGTAAAGCTGCAACTAAGATGAATTGAGGGTTTAGGGTTTCGTTTTTTTGTAATCTTGAGGGTGCGGGACCCAATTTAGTTTTGAGCTGTTGCTGCTGCTCTCGATGGCGGTTGCTGGTGATGATTGTGTGGCCTTGTCTTGCTGTGAATAGATTAGGGTTTAGAGATTAGGTTTTAGCTCATCGTCCCATGGTATGTTGGCATGGTTCTCTGGTGCTGTCCTTAGTTGGACGTCCTGCGTGGAATGCATGAGTTGTTTAGGTAATTTGCTTGAGGACTTGGCGGCTTGAAGTTTATAGGGTCTGTACGGACTCTGGTTGCAATTGGAGGCCCCTACCCGCTGCAAAACAAGCACTTCCTACTTGTTCGGCTATCAGTAGTAACCGTAAACCCGAAACCCCAAACCCCAGTAGCTGCCACTGCAGACTTAGATTTCAGTGCATTTTTTCACAAGGAGATTGTGGGGGACGCGTGATGCGTCCTTTGCTTGGCAGCGTCGTGTGTTGGCATCCGAGAGTCAAGCCATGAAAGTGCTGAAAACTCCCCAAAGTTTCTCGGAAGCCCTTTCCTAGTTTGGGGTTTAGGGAGGCCCCCCTCCCTGAATCATGCATTCAAACCCCCACTTACAAGTATCACACTTCAAACGAACACAAACCCAAGTTGCATGAGTGCCGCTCCACTTTATACATTAAAACATTCCAATCCATCTGAATAACACTACGCGTTTAAAGCCCGACAGATGCCGACTGTTCTAAACTCCCGTAAAGTAAACTGCCTAACGGCCGAACACCCCGAGTAAACCCAAATTTTCAATTGAGCCGAGCTAAGCTGCTATGATCTTGAGAGCCCCAGGGTAGCCTAAAATCTGAACCCTACAAGCCCTAAACCCCAAACCCCTAACAGGGTGCCCCTAAACCCTAAACCCCGAAACGCTGAACCCCAAACCCCCGAACCTTAAACCCCGAAACCCCTAAACCCTAAACCCCTAAGCCCCTAAGCCCCTAAACCCCAAACCCCCCTTGGCAGGGTACCGCTGGACTCGCTTTGCCTCCGGGTGTCTCTGATGGGCCTCGGCCACCCTGCGAAGTTCCTTGCAAAGGTGGCAGCCCTAGGGTTTAAGATAGAAATAATGTTTAATTTTGTTTAAGGTTTAGGGGTTTAGGGTTTAGGGCTTTACAAAGGGGTACTTAGCAATAATTTCTAACTTTTAGTAATTATAATCCCTCAGAAACCGCTAAAATCATAATTTTGGCTAGGGTTCCAAGTTCAGTATAGTTTAGGGGTTTAGGCTGCGGGGAATTAGGGGTTTTGGGTACAGGGGCTTAAGGTTTTAGGGTAGGCTTTAGGGGTTTAGGGGTTTAGGGTTTTAGGGTCTAGGGGTTTAGGGTTCAGGGGTTAGGAGTTTAGGGGTTTAGGGGTTGGGGGTTTAGGGGTTTAGGGGTTATGGGTTTAGGGTTTAGGGGCCTTGGTGTCGGCATTTGGACAAGAAAGATCTTTTAAGGCTCAAGTCATGGCAGCGGTGGGTTCCTAAATGAGTCCAAGTACTTATCACTTGATGCAGTTTGGGAGAGCAGTAACAGTCGGTAGCTTGTTGCGGAGTTCCGAATGGTTCGAGTGTGCATGGTTGGGTAAGTCATATTGTTTTAAAGACAGCTACATAGACAGCTCGATACATGTAAAGGCACCATGAACTAAAGTTTTTTGGTTTTGGTGCATGTAGGACTTTGGGGTCATACCGCGGTACCCACGTCCAAGGTTTAGTCATTTAGGGTCAGGGGATATATGGCTTTGGGCTTCTGGAGAATCAACAGGATTTCGGGCTTAGGGGTTTGCGGATGAGTGGTTCAGCCGAAAGCCCCGAACTCTCAACGGGAGATCTTACTTGAGTTCGTGTTGGTCTTTTCTGCAGAGAGGCCTTAAAGCAGCAAGCGTAGGCGTAAACTGCAACACCCTCAGTAGACTTGAGAATGATACGCCGCTGGAGTGAAGGTTTCCTGCGATAGTGCAGAAAGATGGGGATGATGTGGGCCTTCAGGCACAGGGCTAGGCTAAGTAGGCGCCCGGAGATGTGAGGGTCTTGCACGCCTGATTGTCATCAGCCAGACACTTCCCTTGTTTGAGCTCGGTTGGGCAGGCTGGTTTCGAAAGCCCAATTCCCATAATGATGATGATGATGATGATGATGATGATCATGATGACTACGACTATGATCTTTTCTTTATGCTGTTTCAAGCGCTTGGATCTGAGTCTGCAGCATCGAGGATTCCAGCCTTCAAGCTTCAATCGGGTGGTTGTCAATATTAGGTCCCTTTTTTGGGTCCACATTATAATACGGCACCTAATATTTAGGGTACCCAAAAAGGGACCATAATTTTGACAACCACCCACATGCAGGATGTTTACCCTAAGGCTCCATAATAGTCCCTTTTCGGGTTTCATGTTTAGATCGAATCCTATAAGGTAATTCCAAAAAGGAACCATTATGGAGGCTTAGGGTAATTATAGCAGACATGGGCTGATGGATTTCCTTTCCGCTGCCCCGAGTGACACGCAGCAGCAGAGGCGGGACTCGGCGGCAGAGCAGGAGGCGGCAATTCGAAGAATCCAAGCCGCACAGCGTGGTGTGGCCATCCGTCGCGTGGCCGAAGCGCAGGAGAGCACTGTTTCCGAAGAGGAGCAACAAAGAGTCTGGGCAGCCACAAAGATTCAATCACTACATCGTGGCCGGGCATGCCGTCAGCAGCTTTCTGCCAACAATGACATTGCAGTTCCAGCAGCTTTTAACCAGGAGGAAGAATCTGCAATTCGTCGGATCCAGGCCGCACAGCGCGCCTGGGTAAGCAGGCAGCAAGTCGTTGCTGAGCAAGACACGTGGGCTTCAGCCCATCACAAGGAGCTCTCACCGGAGGAGTCGTCAGACAGTAGCCGAGATGTTGCAGCTGTCAAGATCCAAGCCTTGCAGCGGGGACGCTACTGTCGCCAGCAGCTCGCAGCGGAGAAGGCAGTTGAGGAAACCCGAGCTGCTGCAGCTCTGAAGATCCAGTCTTTGCAACGGGGGCATGCATGTCGCCAGCAGCTAGCAGCCGAGAGAGCAGTTGAAGAGAGTCGAGCTGCTGCAGTGCTCAAGATCCAGTCTTTGCAACGCGGGTGCGCTTGTCGCCGGCAGCTCGCAGCTGAGAGGGCAATTCAAGAGAGCCGAGAGGCTGCAGCCTTGAAGATCCAGTCCCTTCAGCGCGGCCGTTCTTGTCGCCAGCAAGTGGGCGATATTCGCGAGGAGCGCGCGCAGCAGCGGAGGGAGTTGGCAGCTGCCAAGATCCAGGCGCTGCAGCGTGGGCGGCTCTGTCGTCTGCAGCTAGCGGAGCAGAAGAAACAGGCCGCCAAGGCAAAGGCCATCGCCATGGCTAAAGTGAAGCCATGTTCTCCCGCGCCATCTTCCAAGAAACCCCTTTCTGGGCGGCTTGCTTCCCCTGCGTCCCCTCCCCCAAGAAGGGCCCTTCCTGAGCACCCGCGCTCTGGCAGCCGCCAGCGAGCTCCGATCAAGGCCAAGACGCCTTCCTTCCGAAGCGCTCGAAGCGCTCCGAGCCCAGCGCCCAAGGCCAAAGGGTCCAAAGTACCTACCTCCCCCTCTCTCCCTCTCTCTCTCTCTCTCTCTCTCTCTCTCTCTCTCTCTCTCTCTCTCTCTCTCTCTCTCTCTCTCTCTCTCTCTATATATATATATATGTATATATATACAGATATATATATATATATATATATAGGTAGATAGATAGATAGATAGACAGATAGATAGCTATATATATATATATATATATATATGTAGATAGATAGTAGAATGTCGGATTTCTATATTAAGAATTACTCTTATGGTTTGGGGAAGTATTCCCCATAACAATACCTACGGTTGATGATATAAATCCTGCCGTACCTTAATCAACGACCCTGAGCTATGGGAATTATGGTATATTCCGTATTATGGGTCATGCAGGGTTTATATCATCAACCGTAGGACCTTGTTTGGGAAGGCCAAAGCCAAGGCCTCTCCGTCGACCCCGCGGAGTCCACAGCAGCCGCCGCCACAGCCGCCCGCTGCGCAGAAGGAGCCGAAGAGGCCGGCCCACACCGGGCTTTTAAAATTTTAGGATGGGGTTTTTAGGATGATGTTGGGATTTTCGGGTTTATCCGCGAGGGTATTTGGAGGATTTTAAGGATGGAGTTTAGGATGAGCTTGATATTTCCGGGTTTTTGTCCGTTAGGGTGTTAAGTTTAGAGGGTCAAAAAATTCTGTTCATCGCTGGTCTCTGGGAAATGGTGAACCAGAGAGCCCAATGCCCCTCAAACAAGCTAGATGCCTTCAGTTTTCATATTCCTCCCTCATACTTCATGCAAAGCCTAATACCCTCAAATGAGCGCTACCTGTGGCCCAAAAGACCTCCTTTCTTAAGGAAGTATGTATGTAAGTATGCATATATATATATACATACAGACAGAGTATGACAATTTGTGTATGTACATATATATGTATACATGTATATAGAAATCGAGCCCTAGAAAAGCAGGTCTTTTTAGCTACAGGTATGTCTTCAGTCCGAATACTAAGAGGCCAGGATTGAAGGTAGCATGCTTCCTGACCGATTGTTTAGTTAGGCGGGCCTTTAGGACATTTTACGTGGCCCCTTATTCGGTCTAAGTGGATACCATCTACGAACATGTTTCAGAGGTTTTCAATGGCCAACCTGGTCGAGAGAATCTGTGGGTTTCAGCTCATAACAGACAGCCCTGAAGACCTAGAACCCCAAGTAAGTATCACCCTACTTACTCATTCCCTTGCGCCCTTAAGTAGGCTTCTAAACCCCTGGTGTAAGCCTATGCCCCAGAAACCTTGGCTCTTTGGGAAGGCTCCTTGGTTGTCAGCAGCTGGCCACGTACTTGGCACAACAACGCCTCGCCAAGCAGAAGCTTGAGGCCTGGCTTCCACTGGGCTTGGACGGGGTTGTTCCATCATTCTTGATGGTGATGGTTGTGACTACAGTGCTTATTGTTTTTCTTGTTATGATTATTGGTCTTCGTCTTCTTAATATTATTCTTATTATTATTCTGAATTTCTATGATGACTCCTATTATAGCTTAAGCCTTCAAGGTTCAGAAAGAAGTAAAAAGCCACGAACTTATTTATGGGCTTATTTGACGGCATTGGGTTTAGGCATTAAAGACCCCAGCGCGAAGCACAACGGGCCAACGGGCAGAATTAGAGTATAGATGCTCTAGGCACTGGCCATTGGCTGGTCTGCCTCCACCATCCAGGCCTGCCTGAAGACCAGGCGCACTTTGGGGTTAGCGTTCGGGTTGTGGTTGGGTTGTAGGGTTACTGTCAGATTCACTTCGAATTGGGGGGAGGGAGGGATGAGGGGTGAGGGGGGGGGTGTTGTATTTTTCGACTGCCCAGAAGAGTTCTCCAAGGGTGAGTTTTTATTCAACCCTATAGGCCCTAAGCCCTAAACCCCTCAACGCCAAGAGCTGGGTACTTTCGACTTCGAGCCTGTTCGTGATCGGGTTTAGGCCTCCTGGTTCATGCACACAGAGATTCATGAATGTGTATATGTATATGTATATGTGTACACATGAGCATATGATTGTAATATATGGTTTAGTAGATGTATACATATATGCACATTTGTGTTTGTTTAACCATTATACATATGCCGTATATGTATATAAGTATATAGATATGAAGGGGTTTAAACGGGTATAGGGATCTGTAGGGTAAGCGACATGTAAGTAAGTACTCTATAGGAAAGATTCGTCCATCTATGCCCCTAAATCCGTGCCTATATCAATATTACCCAACGTCAGAAAACCATGTACCTGATTACTGGGCACTTTGTACTGGCATCCCGCACTGCGAATCCTGTATTTCAAGGATGCGGTGACGCATTCATCCGCCCTGGCGTGCTCCAGGCTCTGCCAGGAGTACATGCGCAAACTCGCAAAGGACGCGTGGCTGCGTGAAACGGCCGCCGTGAAGATCCAGGCCTTTTACGTACAGAGATAGAGCCAATTCGAGCCGATGTTTTCACATAGTGCAGTCCCGATAGAACCCGA